CTGTCTCACTGTCTCACTGTCTCACTGTCTCTCTCTCTCTCATCTCTCTCATCTCTCTCATCTCTCTCATCTCTCTCATCTCTCTCATCTCTTTCTCATCTCTCTCATCTCTCTCTCCTCTCTCTCTCTCTCTCTCCTCTCTGTCTCTCGTCTTTCCGTCTCTCTTCTCTCTCTTCTCTCGCAGGAGGATCCGGGCAAAGAGCCACATATAAAGGACTCTTCACCCCTGCCTCCAAAAAGAGCGCCGTGTTTTTTCCTACCTCGCTGCCCTCCACTTTCCCATTCTGGAGCGCTAGCTTTCGCCCCCCCCCCTTGGCCTCAAGTTTGCATTCTTCACTTTCAGCAAGCAACAACAGTGGGAGCAAAGGAGGTCCCTGACAGTTTCTTTTGATTTGTTTTTCTTTGGTCTCTTTATATAGTCTCCATAAAAACGATCAAAAAGTCTTGATTGATGAAAAGCTTTGGTGGAGGTGGCCCAGTTCAAAAGTTTGCGGCGCTTCCTGACAGAGAACAACATCAGTGAGGAACTTTGTCAGCGGGTGACGCGTTTTCTGCAGTATAGCTTTGAACAGAAGAGGAGTGGGAAACCGTGGGCGGCGGGCGCGCGTGGCGAGTGCAAAAGCAACGCACTGGCCCTGCCAGACGAAGGGACCATAGCGGCATCAATGGTCATCAACACAAGACCACACTATACCACACTGAACATTGCACGCATTTTAACAATGGTTAAGCTTCTTGGACAAACACTTCTTCAGCATTTGCAATGTGTCAAGAATGGTATAATATGGTATAGTGATATAGTTTCCCTTTGTGAAACTTGGACAGGAGTGTGCAGGCTGCAGATCAGAACCCTCCGTTGCTGGAGATGCTCTCAAAGCCTTTGCAGCGTCACATGGCCTGATGTGGATGGATTTAAGCCGATCCCCTGTCCTGGAGCCTTTCTCACTTCTTTGATATTTTGATATTGTGAATGTGTTTTTTTTGTGATGCTAGTTGAGTTGTATACCCGTTGAGGCCCAAGCTTTCTTCCAAGGAAGATCAACCTTTCATTCTCATTCTCAAGGGAGCAAGTTTTCTCTTTTTCCCCAGATAGCGAAGCTATAGGGGTTCTTACTTCTCAATGGATGGGTTCCTGATTGCAGAAATTGGCTGCCGCTGCCGCTGCCGCCTTGTCTCCCAAGCTTGTCTCCCTTCATGATTTCGCTTCTGCCGCCTTGTCTTCCAAGCTTGTCTCCCTTCATGATTTCGCTCTTGGCTGCCGCTGCCGCCTTGTCTCCCAAGCTTGTCTCCCTTCCTGATTTCGCTCTTGGCTGCCTCTGCCGGCTTGTCTCCCAAGCTTGTCTCCCTTCATGATTTCGCTCTTGGCTGCCTCTGCCGCCTTGTCTGTGAAGCTTGTCTCCCTTCATGATTTCGCTCTTGGCTGCCGCTGCCGCCTTGTCTTCCAAGCTTGTCTCCCTTCATGATTTCGCTCTTGGCTGCCGCTGCCGCCTTGTCTCCGAAGCTTGTCTCCCTTCATGATTTCGCTTTTGGCTGCCGCTGCCGCCTTGTTTGTGAAGCTTGTCTCCCTTTATGATTTCGCTCTTGGCTGCCGCTGCCAGCTTGTCTCCCAAGCTTGTCTCCCTTCATGATTTCGCTTTTGGCTGGCGCTGCCGCCTTGACTCCTAAGCTTGTCTCCGTTCATGATTTCGCTCTTGGCTGCCGGTGCCGCCATGTCGCTTTTGGCTGCCGCTGCCGCCTTGTCTCGCAAGCTTGTCTCCCTTCATCATTTCGCTCTTGGCTGGCGCCGCCGCCGTGGTTCCCAAGCTTCTCTCTGTTCCTGATTTCGCTCTTGGCTGCCGCTGCCGCCTTGTCATTTTCTTGCCTGCCTTTGACGCGGATGCTGTTGTAAGATGATTTAGGTCTTGTTTACCTTTTCCATCCTTTTGCCGGCTTTGAGTGGGATGTCTCCCAAGCTTGTCTCCCGCTCTTGCCATGCTATCCAACTTTTCTTGAAGTGCTAATTTTGTGCTCGATTCTTTTGGCCTCACCGTCTCACCACTCCAAGCCAGCAGTCCAAGCCAGGCCTGCTGGGCCTTCACGATGACAAATGTTCATCATCAAAAACCTCGGTTGGTCAATTGAACCGTCGCCTTATTGGCCAAGCAGGCATGCCTCGCTGGTGGGATAGGTGCGTCTTGCTCCACAAGGGATGCGTCTGGGCCAAAGGTCCATGGTGGCACTCAGTGTGCTGCAAAGCTTCCAGCGCCGCCTTGGCACTCTTTTGTGGCATCTTGACCCAGCAGGGCTCACACTTGATCGCGCTCGACAGCAGTCACTTGTTGCCATCCACGGCATCCACTGCTCCTTGAGTCTGAGCAACCATGGCCTCCACGACATTGTGAAGGGACTTGACGGGTTTCCCTGGGCACTCTCTCCATGAGTTGCACCTGGCACTGATGGCCTGGCAGCGCACTGATAGAGGTCCAAAAATGCTTGCCAGGGGGCCGCATTCCTTTGGTTCAGCGTTCTGAACACCTCACCCTTGCCCCAGCAGGGCGCTCAGCATTGCCGACTGCCAATTGGGTTTATGAAGTGGTCCTTGTCCTCTGCATTTCACACTCCCTGGCTCCGAAGGAGTCACTCAGGTGTTTGTCAGGGACATAGCTTGCCTGTAGCCGGCTCCGCTGGCGCCAGGTGCACGAGCCATTAACTTGCCACTGCCCTTGCTGCCGTCCAATCACAACCGCCACTGCAAACTGCGTGGCCTTGACAGCAATGAAAACTCTCCGAGAGTTCAGCAAAGCAATAGGCCATTCATGTGCAAGCTCACCATGTTTGAAATGACTCACTGCCCTCAACTGGGAAAAAAGACCACTCGGAGTTGCACCATGCCCCCAACACCCAGCTCGCTCCAGGGCGTTCCCCAGCTCTCCAGACGGCACTGCCCGGCTCATGGCACAAGGGACATTTAACCTGCTGACCGTGAGCATGAGTCCAGAGGGATCTTTGGGTTCAGGCTTTTCAGGGCAGTTGCCGCGTTGTCTCCAGACTTGAGCATCTTCCGAAGAGAGACCCATCCAAAGGCCGTTCAACTTCCGCCGCCATGGCCTTTGATTCTCTCCACTCCTTGCCAGTTCAGCTCCTTGGTCACCGGTCAGCCCTTGAGCCAGCCGGTTCAATGTTGAGGTAGGCCGGTTGTTCAGCATCTCCATGCATGGCCAGCAGCTCTGCAAATCGCCCTGAAAGGCCATGACTGAAGTCTGCCGCAGTGTCCCCCTTCAGTGCTGGAGATATCTCTGCTGGTCATCAACAACATCCAAGGAGTCAAGGAGCCTCCTTTTTGATCTGTGAAGCCCTCCACAACCCTGTGGAGCTAATCCCTTGGCCTCATTACCCTAGCTGACCGCTGAGTGGACAGCCTTTCCACAGGCGGACCCTGACCGGCTTACTGTCAATCTTCAACCTCATCAACTTGCCAAAGCACTTCTTTACTTTCAACAACCTCTTTTGCACAGTGCTCATCCTGCTCCGGCGCCCGAACGCGACCGAGTCCGGAGATGAGGATGGTCATCGTGGATGCACCTCCGCACCTCAGCTGTGGCCATGACAGACACGTGTCCAGCCGGCCAGCCGTGGATTCAGCAAGTCTCGCTCCCTGGCCGGCCGTGTACCCTGGCCAGGTGCCCTTCTTGGCCGCTCAAATGAATGTGCATTGCCCACAAAGTCAACACTGTTCCACCCACACGTCAAGGTGCACCAAGGGATGACCATTTTCTGTGAACTGTTGGAGGATGGCCAGGACCGGCTATCAGTGGTACCGTGGCCTCACGGACATCCAGAGAAGAGAGAGCATCTTGTTCACGCACCAATTGGAATGCTCAATACTCGTCCAGAGTGTGAAGCCAGGACGTCAACTGTTCAAAGGGATGACATCCATCATCTCTATCGCCAGGAGGTTCACAATGTCTGCAACACAAGACTGCAACGGCTGTGAGCCTGCAAACATGGACTGTGACATACGGCCCAAATCAGGATCAATCCATGCACCACACACTGCATTGAATCACGAGCATGCCAAACACTTACCCAAAATGTGCATTCACAGAAACAATACCACTCTCGAAGGACCCCTTGTGCACTCCCAGACTGGCTTCATTTCTTTTACCATCAGACATCTCAAATCTGTCCAGTGTTATCCATGCTTTGAGGCATCCTTGAGCAGCATCTCGGCTAAGTGCCGCTCCAACCCCTTTTGCTGATCTGCATTGAAGACAATGCCAGCTTGCCCCATGGCCTTCAACACATGCTCTTACGCGTTCGTGTCCAGCACCGTCTCTGCCGTGGTGAAAGGCTCAATCTCCTCCGCCTGCAGGCTCTTGGCACAGCCGACTGCTTACTAAGCTGCTTCTGCTCACGGTCGCTGGCCTCCTGGACCTGATTAAAGTCTTCAAGCAACAGTTTGTACTGATCCTTGGCACTGTCGACCCTTCTTTGCAAAGACTGCTTCTTGTTGGACAACTGACATAGTTCCCCAACAGTGGCCTTCAACTGTCCAGTCACATCAGCCGGCTCTGGTTTTGGCGGAGTCACCAGGTTCTCCACAGCAGCCTTCACCTGCCTCAGCAAGCCCTGAAGGTGAGCCTTGAGAATCTCCTTCAACGGCTGAAGTTTTGGCTCGGGTGTGAAGTCCAGTCCAACACTATTCAACCCATCCTGGACATCTTTTCTCAACGACGACCATCCCTTGTTCAAAAGGTCTTCCACCGGGCTGTGAACGACCTTCTTTCTAAGCAGTCCAGGCGGTGGTTCAATCCCTTGTCCTCTGTGCAAGCCCTAGGCCCTAGCCTCCTCCACGGTGAAGCAAGGGCAGTTCCTTGCCTATAGCCTAGCCATCTTCACAGGCTACGGGGTGTGACACTTCTCACAGCACCACCTGTTCAAGGATGAGATACGATCTTCCCCGATCCAACACTCCGGGGACCCACTGCAAATCACACAGCTCCTGCTTTTGGTGGTCTTCCCCATCTTAGCTAGGGGACACCATGGGAGCTGCTCCTTCAAGAAGCGGTAGAAGGTAGAGTGACCCATCAAAGGCCTTCAAATAGTCCGAGCCCGCAAGGTCCGCCGTGGCAGCTCCACCCGCGTGAGGTCCGGCGTGCGAACAAGCTTGAGAAGCGAAGGAGCCGAGAGCTTGCCAAGCTTTCCCTCCCCTCCCTCCTCCCTCCGTCTGGCTGTCTCTTTGTGGTGTCTCTCTGTGGTCTTTCTCTGTCTGTGGTCTCTCTCTCTCTCTCTCTTAGACCATTGACGCCTCGCATCTTTTAGCGCGAGCCATTCTGAGGCGAGCTTCAGCTGGAGAGACACCGGGAGTGCCTATTGCAGAGTGCGTTTTTCAGCAGCATGTTGCATAGTGACTTCAATGCCATTGGTGACTCGGCACAGGGGTCCTCAAATTTTTGTCAGCCCAGGAGGGTGTGGTCCAAGAGTCTTGGCAACTTGCAGGTGTGGCTTAGAAAGAAGCTACAGGAAGGGCCGTGCTGCTGGCTATCCACTGGTCAGGTGGTAGCGAGACCTTTGCCTTTGCCCACTTTAGTCACCACCCACATCCACCCACTTTAGATGATTTCCAGACGACAAATACCTCTGACCAGATGATCTAGCCACATCTAGCCTTTGCTCCGCAGATGTTCTGCGCGACTTGGCGGTCTCGGCGCTGTGCCACGCCGTGGTGGCGAAGGGCGACGTGGTCTTTGCCGCTGGCTCCGTGGATGCTGGACCTTCAACCGGGGGGGCCGGTGGAGCGGTGGCTTTTTCACCGAGGGAGCACAGACTGGTGTGAACACACGCAGAGCAGGTGTTTGGGATCCACATTCGGATGGGGACATCTCCGAATTTTTGCTGAGGTAGCTCGAGCAGGCGTATGGAGAAGAAACATGTCATAATTGGCCATAGTTATAATTAACAACATCATAAAACATCCAGGACATGGCGACACAGAATTGGAACACTCAGCACCTAAGGCCACTTCATGCTACTTTCTGGCGCAAGGAGACTTCAGCTATGGTCGAGTCGGCTATCCCACTGAGAGGCCTGGCAGGACGTGGATTGCTGAGATATGCCTATGGACCCCATGGCTCCACGTGCCCTCGGTGCAGAGGAGGGCGGATGGCGCATGGGAGTATGGAGGATGAAGCACCCAGCGATCAAAGAGGTCCTGCATGGTCTTGTTACCCTCATTGTGAGATAGATCCGTCAAAATCGAACCTCCCTTAACCAGGAGTGACGTGAATTCTCAGCCCATTCTATTCATGTCGGTTGAGATTCCACTCCGTTTGCGGTTTCGACCCAAACGGCCCAAACTGCCCAACGTCCTCTACAGCGCTTGAGAGTCTGCTGAGGTTGGAGACCTCGTGTCACGAGAGACAAGTCGGTTGATCTCGCTGGAACTGGACGCCTTCTGCAACTGCCTGGGCAAAACGCCGGAGATGCGGGAAATGGCCCGGGCGCATGGGGAGGAATATGTGGCGAAGGTGAACGCCTTGGAAGAGGCAGAACTCTCAGATTTATGGGATGAGGAGGTGGCAAGCTTCCCAACCCATTCTCATACTGCCTCTTGGCAACAGATGTGGGTGTGTATTAAAGTAAGGAGAGTCTCTTCATAGTTTGTTCGAACATCACCATGGAGTGGTGAAAGCATCACGAGATCAGGCTAAACGCCGTCAAATCGAAGACTCTTTTTTGTGCACCTACTCGCTGCACGAAGAATGTGGGCAACTAAACAGGTTGGATGGTCTTTCTATTCTACTGCAGGTCCAGATATTCATCTATAGAATTTATATTATACTGTAATATACTGTAGATCTTCGCACCTTGAACATTCTCTTGTTGAAGAACCACTGAAGCTTCCGAAGTTGATGGCTGATATCCCAACGGAAAGACCCACAACCCAAATGCTTGGGGCCCCAACATCAAAGGCGCGCAACTTTGTCTTTGGGAGTGATGTTTGGTCTTTTCTGATTGGCCCTTTTGGTTTGATGGCCAAGGTCTTGAGCCGTATTCTTCCTTTGAATTAGAAGGGCAATCTTCCACTCCAACCACAGAAGCTGAATGGGCCCTTGGGCAAGGGCAAGTTCAGTGACATGGGGCAGCCTTGAAAGAAGACCATAGAGAGGGTTGGGAGAGTGGGCCGGCTGCCTTCCACCCCAGCGACCCTAGCGGATGCCAGCTAGAACGAACAGTTGGCCGAACAGTTGGTCAGAAGAGATCGACGTCTCACACCGGCAGTTGGCCTTAGGCCATTCACTGAAGGGTCAAAACCCTCAAGGACCTGCTTGCCAAGGCATATATGATGTTGCGAACTTGTGTTGTGACCCACACCAAGTTATATCATTAAGGATTTCTTCCATAGTGGATTGACAGTGGATGACAGTGGATTGGATTGATGTTCGGCAGTATTTCCGGCTGTTAGTCTGGCACCTGCACTTCGAATTTAATCCGGCGCCAAGAGTCCTGTCGATATCTGATGGGTTCCACCCTGGAAGTAGAAGGACCAACACAAATACCAGAAACATGCTGAACAGAAACCGATCGCGGAAAGCGGTGCGACCGCTCCATCGCACTCAGTGGGCGTTATGACTGCATACTATTTGGAATATTCACACTGCTTCGCGGTCGAAGCACCAGTGCGGGCGGATTTTGTAACTTTTTTTTTCTCCCGATTTTCTTGCTTTTCGATTCTCGAATGGACGAACACATTTTGGAAGGCGCTATGGCTGGGCATGTTTGGTGAGGTTTTTGTCCAACTGTAACTCCCACACCAATGAAGAGTCTGTGGATTCTAGAACAATAGCCTAGTGGCTTGTCCATGGTGGAGTTTCGTGCCTGTGTGCCAACCAGGATTCTTAGCTTCAGGCAGATGTCAGTGCTAAATCAGTCGGAACAGTAGACTTTAGGAGCGAGCCAGCAAGATTTGCTTGCTAGCTGGTGAGTCGGAGCTCCGTCGCCAGCACCAGTCTTGTCATGACCGAAGAACTGCATATTTTTGTCTTACCCATGAGTATTTCGTGAATGCCTTAAGATTATTTTTCAGTACTTTCCTATTTGTTCTTTGCATGGAGGCAGAGGTGTTGTTGGCCCAGATTGTTGACAATAGGCACTATGACGTTATAAATCTTGAGGGCATGCCATTCGATCTGGCCTGCTGTTGCCGCAGGCTCCGTGGAGCATTGTGGCTTAACCGTGGCTGGCACCAACTGAGGGCTTGCGGAACCCCCCTTGCGCGGGCGCTGCCTTTCGATGGGCAATGTCTGCAGATCACTTTAAAATGGAGGCTTCCTTTTCAGCCCTTAGCATGCAACAGGGGAGATTCGTGGAAACGCAGAACATGTAAAAGTTCGATCAGACTGTTATTTAGGGCCACCTTCTCTTCAGGCAAGTGATGTAAGTTGATCTTTCCTCTCAACTTCCCAGCAACACGAGTTGAAAGCCAGAATCCAGTCTCCGAGTCTCCGCAAGTACGGCACAGGTGATTGGATTTCTGGCCTTATCATCTGTTTAGGGCAAACGATGATCGGCGCAACCAGGGGGCAAATCACTGACCTATCAAATGTGCGGGATTGGGCACTCACGTTCCCGCACACACCGATGAGCTAAGCGAGGGCGCACGACCGAGGAGTTTGCCAGGTCTTAGAGTCGAAGGCACTGACCCTCCCCCAAAACAACCGTGGAAGTGGAAAACCATGGAAAAGGGGCTATGGCCCACTTCCGTGATCGTTTCAGGGATGGTTTCAGAATGTTTCAGGGTGCTTATAGACTTTATGATTGATGTGAATTGATGCGTCGTACTTAAAAGCCCTATCAGGATGCAACGGTTCTTTTGAGCCATTTGGCCGTTCTGCTCACCGTCCACATCTTTCAATTTGAGCTTTTCAAGTTTTTGAGCTCGTTGCCAGCAATGGGCTAAGATTGGACCCATGAAATCCGAAGGATTCAGATATTCTCTGTGGAGTCAAGTGAATGCAGATTTGGATCGAGGAAAGAATCGGACATACAATATCTTAGAACTTTACCATATACTATAGACTATAGATGAACAAGCAAAGCTGTTTTTCATGTAAGCGCACTCCCAAGCAAAGAGTTCCGATCAAACGCGATGCCCGGCATCATCTGCGATACTGACTCTCCAGTCTTCTGTGAAGCCGGCGCCCAAAAAAGATGCGAAGACCGTCAAGAGAGTCTACAGTCTTTACGATATTCAAGTAGAGCACTTCACACACTTGGGGCACAGTATCCTATCGTCAGCGATGACAATCAAGTGCATGCCAAGTCGCAAGTTCCACGTGAAATCAGATCTCTGAAATCGAGGCCAAAGGTGCCGAATTTGAGCCCATTTCCGGCGCCTTTGAGCAAGCAGGCCGAGCGGCTGAGTGGGTAGATTTGGATGACATCAGTGCATCGGTCGTTGTTCAAACACCAGGGTGAAAACGAAAACGAGGTGGGCGGGTGATGGGAGGTGAGTAATTAAACATATACACATAATTACACATATAACATATCTATATATATATATACTGCATGTATTTTTTCTTCGGCAGACTCCCGGGCAGAGCTCGCCTCTTGGTCCAAAAAGGTCCAAATCAAAAGGGCTGGGTTCAGCAGGTGAACACACCAGAAGACTTTCTTCCTATTTGCCACTGTGTGCGACACACCTGACATCTTTTACACTTCGCGTTCGTGAGTCGACGTGGAGTCGCCGTGGCAAGGGTTGTATTTGTCCGCGCTTTGTTGGCCTCCTAGTCTTTCCGCTTTACGCCCTGCCTGTTGTTGGCTTTGGCCCTTGAGGCCGGTGTGGATGGAGGTCCTGCAGAATCGAAGCGCCCGCTTGTCGGGGGCTCTACCCTTCCAAAATTGTTTTGGCAGGTATGGTCGCCCCCACAAGGTGGATGCCATTTTCATGTCCTAGATCGCCACCATTGCCGTCTTTTCTGTCCGATCTTGTCCTCGGCACCTCCAGTTGAGCCCACCCAGTTTTTTGGAAACTCTTAAAACCTCTGAGGCAACTCCCGGTCTTGGAAACTGAGGGCCGACGTACCTGTTCCAGCACCGTCGCGGTTGCGGAGTCAGGTGGCCTCACTGTCGAGGATCGATGGTCAGGTGTAGGACGGAGCATGCGCAACCACACCACGCCATATCCGCAACCACTGTTGCAGGTGTGAGAACAGCAGTCGGAGACAGAACCCTCCAAAATCATCCAAAGACGCCTAGTTGCGGGAAAGATACATGGACACTGTCACTGCTTTGGCAGAATCCTTTGCGCAATCCTTGTGCAATCCTGTAGATATCCGATATCCGTAAAACGAGATGAGGGGATTAATCCGACTTGGCATGTCTCAGCTTGGCTCGCCGACATGTCCGCTGACATGGCTGCCTTTGACCGCTAGATTTCTCGTCTCGCCGTCTCGCCACTTCTCCTGAATCTGGGTTTACAAGGACAAACATCGCATTATCTTTGTGACTGGTTAATCGCGTCTCGTCTCAGGCGGCCCACGCTTTCTCTACATGTTTGATGATCATTGGAGAGATATTGGAGTGATGGCATGTCAGATTTCAGTATTTGATTCTTCGTTTGTGTCTGAATGCAAGTAATTAACCGGTTTCGTACGTTTGTTCTTCACATACAACTATTTGTCAATCCTCCCGCCGATTAGTCGAGGTATTTTCAAGCCTTCAGAACAACGGAGACTTTTCATTTATCTTGACCTTTGACACAAGCTTGACAGGGAGACATCGCACATTTTTCATAACTTTTGTTTGGGTCCCTTTCTCGAGGTGCTGCTTCCACTGGCCTAGCTTGCTTTTGTTTCCTGTCCAGGAACTCACCCCAAGGACGGGCTTTCGACAGCATTGGGGCAAGATCACCAGCCTGTGAGGCCCAAAAAGCTGTGCTTGCGAGGAGTTGGTGAGATTTCCAAATGTGGTCTTTTCACCCTAAGTTTTTGTTCACCGTCATTCTGCGAAATATTTGAATGGGTGCGGTCTTAGAATATCTCAGAATGAGCTTTGCGTTGGAACACCCAGAGAGCCTCAAGAAACACTCAAACTTCAGAGTTGTTGCACATGGAATTCCTGGATTTCTAGAAAACTGAAGGAACATAAGGAACACCTTCTCATCATAACTTACATGATGTTCCTTGAAGTGGATCCATGAAGAGCTTGAATATATTCAATCGCCCCTCTCCTTGTCGACTTGAAAACTGCTCGAAAACTGGTAGGACTATGTAGGACTTAGATCATGGGTTTTGAACCGTCTTGAATGTCTGGCTGGTTGTATTTTGGAGACAGATCTTTGTGGTTTCTTGCTTGTTCTTGCTTGAAGAACCACCCAAGGGCTTTTTTTTCCCCGCATGCCGCGATTGTGGAGGAGTTGGGTCGCAGCCAGATTTTCCCTTTTAGCTAGAGATGAGGCTTGAACAAAATCTATGGTATGGGTTGGCCGCGATTCCTTTGGCCTGCACTCCCAGGACCATCCCCAATAGATTCCAAAAGCATCCTATAACCATAGATTCTGTACATTACTCAGATGAAGATAGATTGATCTCAGTGATGCCAAGCCGTGTCAACCATAATTGTGTGTCATCGCACGGGGGCGCATGCCACCAACTTCCGGAGCACTAGAGACATCGGCTCGGAGCGGTTGATTGGATGAGAAGCCTTGAAGAGGAACCAGACCTGGCAGTTCGGCACATCAATCCCGTGCACCTCGTGGGAATGGGGTTCATGATGAACCATGGCTTCTTTTGCCGGGGCTCCTTTCAGGGTCTTGGACACGAATATATTAAATATTACTAAATTATATATATATATGTATAATTATATGTACTTATATATATATATACATATATTTTTAAACAGTATACACAACATATTGCACCATCAGAGCGGTGTGCATCTGCGAGAAACCAGTGCCGAGCTAGAGGCTAGCGATGGCTAGAGCGTGCAAGAATTGCCAGGACATGAGCTTCCCTAAACATCTACAGGACCTAAAAGAAACACATGTTTTCCCCGTGAACCCGGAGCGAGCCGATCGGGAGTCGTGTGCTCTGAGTGCTCTGATGGGTCAACGAGTGCCACGACGAGGCTGAGCCAGGTGAGAATGGCAGAGCTTTTCGGTTCCTGAGGGAAAGGCTATGGCACACAATGGCACACTCATGAAGGGCCCTATTCATCTATCTTTGTATTTCATGTGTCACCTTTTTTCTGGGAACAGCCGAACAGCCGTTCGCATGGTCTTTGAATCGACGCAGGGTCCGCCGATCCTCGCAGCGCTCGGAGCGAGCGTTCCGCTTTCTTACGTCCCAATGAAGGGCGGACGTTTTTTCCGGAGCCTCCGCAAGGAACCATTTGGAACCTATGAACCTCTGGCTCCGGATGATTCACTTCCCCCCCCCCGGTACGTCAGCGGAATTCCGAGGGCTGGACAGTTCGGAGCTACAAGTTCCCCGATCGTTCCAGCCGAGTTGAGTTCGTGAAGAGGTCGTGACGGTGATGTGTCGAAGAATTGGGGAACCTCCGCCAGGGAAAGTACGGAAAGCATCCAACATCTTGCTGTTTTGTGGTCCTCCCGTGTGGTCTTGCTATTTGAAGACACCATTGCCCGTCTCATGCGACACCACACGGGCGGCCCAGTTTGCACAACACATGCGCGACACCCACTGCCGACAGTTGGTTCTCGAGGCCAAAAAATTGGCCCAGCAACGTCATGCAAAGTCTCTGGTGGTTGACCCAGAAACAAGCCCCAAAATGCCAAAGAAGTGTTACGCGCTGCGTGTTTTCGTGGCAGTGTTTCTGGGGTAATCATTCGGATGATCCTTCCTCAACAGTAACATGTACTCAAGACTTATAAACATGTTGAGCACTGTGAAAGAGCAGCTATTTGAGAGTGCTCTATTTGGTATTTCTCCAAAAGACAATTGTTGGCTCCGGGTGAGTGCCTGGCCAACGGCTCATTTGGCCGACCTCCTGCCATGGCCTCGCATTCGGCGAGCGGGGCGAGTGGGGTGGAGTTTCAGGAAGACTTTTGGATGCTACACCGGCGCTTGGGGGAGCAACATGAGTTGGAACTGAAGGAGCTACAAGCCAAGGCTGCTCAGAGGCAAGTCCAGGCCCAGCTGGTATTTTTTTTCAGTGATGGATGGAGGGATTGGGCGTTTCCATGGCTGGAGGTGATTTCTCAGGCGTTTCAGGTTTTCTTCCAAAGATTTTCCTCAGGCCTGGCGCATGCATGGCGTCCATAAACCATCCATCAGTTCGTCCACATGTGTTCCCAAATGCGCCAAGTGAACATCCTTTTGTCATTGTGTTCCTGGCATCCTAAAGTGTGACGCACGTCTTTGGAAGGGCTGTGGGTCCCGGGATCCCGCGGCTCCATTGAGCAACGGCGTGCGCGCGCGATCGGGGCGTGCGGAATTTTGCCAGGCGAAACGGCGTGCGTGAAGACATGGAGATCCCGTACATCAGATGTCATGAAACTCAAACACTCTCCTATCAATCAAGCCCATCCGCCCCGAGAAAAAGGACCTATATATATATACATGGCTTATAGTTTATAGTATGTTGATACACTACTATATTATATATATTATGTTGTTTACTTACTTTCTTTTGAGTTAACATCCAACCTCTTCCTACTGTAGTGAAGCTGATCCATGGTGAAACTGTTTTCTGACCCACCCTTTTCCCATGCCATTTGCATGAAATCATTCCAGCTGGTAATGGGGTCTTCATTCTTTTTGGATGCTGGTGTTTTCATGATCTCATCTGGATCATTCTCACCGCCACCCCTCAGCTGCTTCAATCTGCCCACCCAACCTTCTGATTGCTTCTCCTGAAGGCTCATGCTACAAAACATTTTGATGACCAATGTTCTCCCAAACAACATTTTTGCACTTCATCTTGCCTTCCATCTCTTTCATCCTGCAATCCTCTTCCTTTTCCAAACCACCATCCAATTAGACCATCCAGTATAAGCACCCACCCTTACCACATAGAGCCTCCATTTGGCATGGCTCTGATCTCTTACCAATCTTGGGCCAATATGCTAAGCTATCATTGTTCTCATGGTTCAATCTCTCATGGTTCACACAGAATCCCATCAACCATCCATCATGAGGTCATCACCTCTATTAGGCGGATGTGGTCTCCAATACCTCCAATCTCAAACCTTGACCTTGTTGAACTTGAAGGGGGTGAACACATATGCAATAGGATCTCTGGGATGTTTCTTCATATCAATTTATCACAGTCACGCATTTCAAGCTTTTTAACAAAGTAAAGTATAGCAGTCTCTCAACTCATCACAAAAAACACATTGAACGATTGATGATATAATTTCACAAGAACTATATCATGAAACATGAACAGCTAGATTGCGCTCAGATTTCTGTATTTGTTTGTTTGATTTGAGATGCACTCTTGATAGTGCCCTTGGCTCATAGAACAATTATATATATATACAGGCAGAACAGGTACTGTATATAGTGATTTTTACCTTCTATTGTTTGCTTTGACACATATATACCTAATACCTATTGCCAACAATCCTGTAAATGTCGTTTCCTAGCATCAAAGAACAGGACGCACTAGTTGATTATTAGAGCTATTACTATGGTGGATTTTAAAATTGAGTTCAGGATAATTTAACTCCTGAAAATATGTTCATTTAATATTGTCATGCGTGTTGTAATCATTTTCATAAATGAACTCTTATTTGCATACATTTATTTCAATGAATGTGCACTTCAAGAAATGATCAAAAATGAACAACTGAAGTACCCTTTTGATGATTATAGATGGTAGTTAGTTAAAACAATGGAACCTCAAACAGGTCAAGAAAAGAAATTGACATCAGTAACGAAAAACCAATGAATATAGTTGCTTTAAGCACTGTAAAGCACACCAAAAGGCAAGAAGTGAGAAGCACGATTGCACAGCATTCAGAGACATCAATCTTGCTTTTTGTATTCTTTGGGTTTGCTTTGCAAAGTGAGGTTGCTTTAAAGCGCTTTAAGGCACAGTAAAACAAGAATAAATAAGCAAACTTGCAGAGCATGAAGGGTCATCAATGTTGCTTTTGCCATACCTTGTCTCCACCGAATGTCCTGGAGCCTTTTTTTTGCTTTCTTCCTATACCCACATTATACACACACACACCCCAAAATTTCACTAAACGACTGTAGTTTGTCAGTAAGCAACACACATTGGGTGGGTGGGTAGTGGAGGGGGGGGTCCATCTATTTGTACATGCGTTTTTCTGCCGTGGCCCAGGTTGACAGCCTCCCAGCACCCCCTCCGCTGCCGAACTCGCCACCCGACAGGGGAGACGTGAAACGAGGGGCCTTGCTGGTGAGAAAAAACGACCCGGGCTTTCCAAGAGAGACAGGCAGAAGTCGTGAAGTGTTGGGTGTCCAAGGGGTGTGGCTTGATGAGTCGTGCCCCATCTTCAGAGCCTGGGAGTTGCGGGCCCTTCGCCCAGCGAAACCTGCCTGGGCCCTCCGAAGGGCTGGACCAGGATATAGGAGTTGATGGATTAGACATGTGGTTTGATATTGGTTTGATCATGTTTGATGATCATGTTTGATCAGTGTTTTTCCCGAAAGCATTGCGAAGGGTTCTTCCGGAAAATCCCTTGAACACTGACACTTCGACACTTACACTTACACACTGACACTTCCACACTTGCACTTGAACACTGACATTTCGACACGTACACTTGAACACTTACGCTTTCACACTTACACTTGAACATGAACACATGAACATGAACACTTACACTTCTATACGTACCCCAGTGTAAGTGGAAGAGTGAAAGCATCCAAGAAAGCATCCAACGGCAAGTATCCAAGTGCAAAAGTATGCAAGTGTAATGAGTATGCAATGAGCACGGGAGATGTCCTAATGAAACTTGTGGAAAACTTGCACGGGAGATGTCCTAATGAAAAACATTTCCCCACTTTATAATCTCTCTCTTAAAGGCGGAGGGTGGGACGAACAGCGTCAACCGAAAATGCAACCCTCTGCGGAGATCGTGCGCGTCGAGCGCGAAATGCAGGCGAGAGTGCGATTTGGTCTGTGCGCGCGCAACCCTCTGCGGAGATCGTGCGTGTCGAGTGCGCGAAACGCAGGCGCTGGCGACTTTCTAGTACTACTTTAGTACGCGGAGTATTTGGGGAGCTGGAAGATCAACTTTAGTACGCGGAGGATTTGGGGAGCTGGAAGATGAGAACTGGCGACTTTGTATCTGGGGAGCTGGAAGATGAGAACTGGCGACTTTGTAGTGCAACTTTAGTACGCGGAGCAATCTGTGGAGCTGAAAGCTGAGAACTGGCGACTTTCTAGTACGACTTTAGTACGCGGAGTATCTGGGGAGCTGGAAGACGAGAACTGGCGACATTGTAGTACAACTTTAGTACGCGGAGCAATCTGTGGAGCTGGAAGCTGAGAACTGGCGACTTTGTAGTACAACTTTAGTACGCGGAGTATCTGGGGAGCTGGAAGATGAGAACTGGCGACTTTGTAGTACAACTTTAGTGCGCGGATTGTTTGGGGAGCTGGAAGATGAGAACTGGCGACTTTGTAGTGCAACTTTAGTACGCGGAGCAACCTGTGGAGCTGGAAGCTGAGAACTGGCGACTTTGTAGTACAACTTGAGTACGCGGAGTCTTTGGGGAGCTGGAAGATGAGAACTGGCGAAGTTGTAGTACAACTTTAGTACGCGGAGTATCTGGGGAGCTGGAAGATGAGAACTGGCAACTTTGTAGTACAACTGTAGTGCGCGGAGCTGGAAGCTGAGAACTGGCGACTTTGTAGTACAACTTTAGTACGCGGAGTATTTGGAGAGCTGGAAGATGACAAGTGGCGACTTTCTAGTACAACTTTAGTACGCGGAGTATCTGGGGAGCTGGAAGATGAGAACTGGCGACTTTGTAGTACAACTTTGGTACGCGGAGCAATCTGTGGAGCTGGAAGCTGAGAACTCGCGACTTTGTAGTGCAACTTTAGTACGCGGATGAGTCATCCCTCGCGGCTGAGTCATCTCTCGCGGCTGCTCTGGCGCCCCTGCAGCTGAGTCATGTCTCCCGACCACCCGGCTCTCTTGAGAGGTTGACACACACACACAGAGACCCACGCACTGCCTCAACTTACTCGGACACACACACACAGACAGAGACTCATACACACACATACACACACAGAGACCCACACACTGCCTCAACTCACTCGACTTAACACTTCACACTGAACACTTAACAGATAAGTCACACTCTGACTTCCTACGTGATGAAAAATGCTTTCGGGCCACTTGTCGTCTAGTTTCTTTCGGCTGAACCAGTGGTCCACACTCACTGGATTCTTTCCACCAACTTACATTTTCAGTTTGGCCCCTTCCTGCCCGAAGGAAGCAGTGTTTCCAGGAAGCCGTGTTTGGTCCGTGGCGCCGAGGAACGGCCCGCAGCTCCCAGAGGGTGATCTTCACCTCTTGGAACCGGAGGAACTTCGGTGTCGCCCGATTTGCTTTGGCTAGGACGAGCGTCGCTGAAGTTTAGGTGTTGGCTTCGGTGAAGGTGTCGCTTGAGAGAATCGCCTGACAGTCCATGCTGTGCTTTCCGGTTCAGGAGACGAACCGGAAGGACAGGGAGAGCACTCTGGTCAGCCAGCAAAGCGTTCCCTCACTTTCCTTGGACCACAAGGCCTGCCGAGTGCCATCACAGCGCAAGGCACACTGAAACACCCTGCACTTGTGAGGCTCAACCGGGCAGCGCCCTAGTAGCGTCCTTGCTCCTAGTAGTAAGGCCAGGAGCCCCTAGTAGCGGCGCCACATGTAGCACCACCTTTCTATTTGCGATGTTTTTCATTTTTTTCAATGTTTCGCTTCCGGTCTAGTCCAGTTGACGACCCGATTCGGGTCCTAGATTCATGGCCATTATATTTGACTCCAGCAACTCAGTGACCCTTCAGTTCCAATCATGAGACCTTCAACACCTTTTGAACCTTAAAATCTTACAAGATCTTCAAACCTTCTAAAGACTTCCTCAATTTCCAACGTGCAAACACTTCGGTACAAACTATTCGTGGAAACGATGGATGCCTCCGCGGCGTCTCGCCGCTTGATCCGGCTCTCGTCCGATGAGGTACGACATCGATGGCTCTCGGAGGATGAAGCACCACAGGTAGCACGGACGCAAACGCGCAGGCCCAGCTTGAAATTGCCCGACTGGAGCGCGAAGCATGGCTGTTTGAGTGGCAAAAACCGGTGGAGCACAGGGTTTGCGCAGGCCTGCATGGTGGCGTGGATCATGGGATTGGGGGGTTGCTTCTGAAATTCAAAGGTGGGAAATACTCGATCGAAGGAACCTTGCCTTAGCATTGTTCTCTGCCGCAGTTTTGAACCAAAAACCACTACGACATGCTACGACATGCTACGACCAAAAGCCCCAAAGGGATGGTTTAGTATGGTTTAGTGAGGATTACAAGAAATTTCAGGGATTTTCAATGATTTTCATGAAAGATTGGCGAATGCAATGTTGTGCAAGAGCCGCCCCATGTGCCTTTTGCGTGGCGAGTCAATGATCAGCAGCTTGCGCTCTATATTCCTATATTCCCAAACGATTTCTTTCACCATGCTAGCTGTTCAGACAGGGGAAGGCTGTCCACTTGATAAACTGCCGCGCCCAGAGTGCTGCAATTGTATATATATATATATATATTCCCAGAACCATTGGCCAGGTGAAATTCCCGGATGTAAGCAGAGCCGCCTGTCCTGCCGAGGAAAGCACAATCAATATGGCTCTCAGATGAGCGGACCGAAGCATCATGGGTCTTTGTAAACGTCTTCCGGCGGATTCAGCACCCAGGCGCTTTGTTGACAACCATGGGCGCAAGGACTGGAAAATAGGTCCACAATTCACGAGTGTTGAGGCTGAAATCTAGTTTTGCTGATGGATAGCAATTTGCCAGTCTTTGCAGGCGGAGTTACGTTCCCAGTCGATCGGCACGTTGATCGAAGTTCCGCAACCAAGTGGAGCAGCTTCTTTCGACTTTTGCATGTGGTCATACCGCAAAGATTACTAATTATGTTTGAATCATCATGATTTCCATACAGTCACTCACACATGTCCATATCTGCAAACCTTACAGGCCCAAAGCCCCTTTGAAAAGGAGCGCGACCCGTTTTTCATGGTAGCGGAGCCCTGGCCGTAAGAGCCAGGGCTCCCGCACACGTGCACCACGACGAGGCCTTCCTCCTCGAGAACGACATCGAGTTGGAAGGGCGTGTGGCTTTGCGAGCTGCTGATCTTGGCTTGCCTAGCCAGTGGATTTGCCATTGGTGGTGCGCACCAGGAGATCTGCTACTACCAGAGTGGTTCAGGGCCAGCAGGTCCGGTGAAAATCAAGAGGAGGACCTTCCATAGTATCTACGTGGAAGCCGACGAGTACATCGGGAAGCTGAAGTGGCTGAAGAGTGACAGGGCAGCCAAAGCCAGTCTCCTGGTGAGGGAGAAAAGTGGAAAGAAAAGGAAGAAAAGGGATTGCCGAGAGCTCATAGTGGTTGTTCCTGCGAGCTGGCAGTTTCTGGATAAGCTAGAAGCAACAAGAGAGGATTTGGAAGAAGGGCAAATCGGTGCATTGGTGAGCCAGTGGAAGTTTTGGGAAGTCCTCAACTACAGTGGCATACCATTTGAGGTTGAGCAAGACAGTGCACACCTTACCTCTAGGTGCTACTATCCAAAGGCAGCGCATTTGCAGAGGATGGCGGACGAGAGTTTGAGGTTGGTGGCAGCAGCCTTAGAAAAGTTGAGTGTGAATCAGGCATCACAAGCCTGGTCAAGACACTTGAAAACCCCTGATGTGTTCAAACCGGGCCAACGAGTCGAAGATGTGGAGTGATTGGAAGTTTGCATTTTGCAGCTACATTCGAGGAGTAGACCCAGCAATGGCAGCAGCTATGGACGTGGTGGAGAAGAAGATCAACAGTGATTACACCTTCGATGACATGACTGATGACATGAAGACAATGTCAGTGAGGTTGTACAGTGTGCTCACATCATACCTTCGAAACCGCCCCCTGAAGTTGGTGAAGCACATCAAGCAGGAGAATGGGTTCGGTGCTTGGCAGTTGCTGTTGAAAGAGATGCAACCGGCCACAAGAGCAAGGAGTCTTGCTTTGCTGACCCAACTATCAAGGGTGCAATTTGCTGAAGGGAAGTCATTGAGTGAGCAATTCCCTCAATATGAAGCAATTGTGACAGAGTATGAGCGCATCAGTGGACACGTCTATGCTGATGATGCAAAGGTAGCCTCAATCCTGCAAGGATGCCCTGCCTGCATGAAGCAACATCTCCAGTTGTGGGTCGATGACAGTACGACCTATGACTCATTGAAGGCGAAGGTGATGCAACTGGAATCACTTTCTACCAGGTGGGATGCAAGCAACAGCCTGTCTTTGCCAACCAGGGCGAGCGCAGATGAGAGTACGCCCATGGAGGTGGACTACATCGGCAAGGCCAACGACAGAGGGAAGAAAGGAGGAAAGAAAGGCAAGGATGGAAAGGGCAAATCTAAAGGGTAAAGACAAAGGAAAGTCTAAGCAAGAAGGCAAAGGACTATGGAAGTTCTTCGACAAAGGCAAGAATGCGTGGGAGAAAGGCCAAGGAAAGAAAGGAAAGAATGTTGAGAAAGGAATGAAAGGCAAACCAGGAGGATGCTTCATCTGTGGCAAACAAGGCCACGTCGCAAAGGAGTGTTGGAAGCGCGCGCAGCAAGTAGAGGAGAATCCTGGTGGCGCAGCAAGTTCATCATCAGGTCAAGCCACGACAGTGAGAGAGACCACGCAAGTGAAGATGGTGAGGGTTGATGAAAGCACAAGTGACCCCACTACAGAGATCTTTGATCTTACGCAGTATGAGGAGGATGCCGAAGAGATTCAACATCCTTGGAGAGTGAATGCAATCTATGAGGAGCTCAATGAGGAGGAGTTCTTTGACTGCAGAGAGCCGATTGTGTGGACACCCAGTCACGTGCCTGTGATTGCGATGGACATGCAGGTGCACGAAGAAGAGGGAAGGAAGCCAAGTTCATCCAGATGGTAAAAGTGGAAGCGGTCATCCAGGACAGCTGTCTAGTCACGCTGGACAGTGGTGCAGATGTTTCAGTCCTACCACTACACTATGGTGAAGTTGGGACTTGGCGACCAGGTTCAGAAAAGTTGAAGATGGTGGACGCACAAGGCACGAAGATAGCCCATCAGGGGCTGACAAAGGCGAGGATCAAGATCGAAGATAGCGAAGGAAAGGCCATCGAGTTGATAGAGGAATTTGTGTCGGGAAACGTTCAACACCCCATTTTGTGCGCTGGTCGAGTCTTGAGAAGAGGTTGGAGTATATCAGGAGGAAATGATGGGAAGATGTTCCTGTGCCACGAGGAACGGAACCTGAAGATCCCAATCAACACAGAAAGAAATTCTCCAGTTCGAAGCTAGGATCTTTGGCATTGAATTGGAGGAGCAGGAAAAGAAGGTCAGCCAGAAGGAGGACTGTGTGAGAGTGTTCGTGCTTAGAGGATTCCTGAGCAAGTACGTGGAGGAGCTCGAACTGTCCCCAGGATGGCACCGGCTACCGAACGGAGTCATTGTGTATAGCGATCCTATCGCTATCAGGCTGGCAGATGCAAGACAAAGTGTTGATGGAGAGTGGAAGTCAAGAATGACACTCCTGAAGGATAAGGACGGCATGTGGAGGCAATTGGAGCTACGTCAGTCTTGGAGACAAAGCCTTCAGGAAGATCACCGCGGACCAAAACCCACAGAGGACCTTGAGTTTCTTCTCCCCAAGTCGCCTCAAAGACTATTGGGAACAGGATGCTGAAGTGCCAACGTTCCCATACCCAGAACCGGAAGGTGAGATCAAGCATCATGAACGGTCAGAAGAAGAGCAAGAAGATCCAGAAGGACTAGAAGAACAATGGGAAGCCCAAGACATCGAGAAATTGGTGTTGGCAGAGAAGAAGGACGAGGTTGAGCTCGATGACGTGGTGTTCAACGAGAAATCGTCAGTCAAGGAGCTGCAGTTGGCATGCACTGAGAGAGGCCTACCATACTCAGGGAGCAAGAAAAGGATATTAGCTCGCCTGATTGCATTCAAGATTGACTTGGAGAACAAGCTGCAGCTGAGCATTGCCAACAAACTCTTCAAAGAAAACCAGAGAAAGCCCATGACTTTGGGACAACCCAAACTGCCATCATTGAAGGAGCAGGAGTTGCACTTCGTCGCCCATTGGCCATATGCTCCATGGTGCCAAGCATGTATGGCAAGTCGTGCGAAGGAAGATAAGCGCATTTCAGAAAAGAAGAAACCGGAGTTGGGGAAGAATGTCATCGAGTTGGATTTCTTCTACGCGTACACAGGAGAAGAGAGAAGGATGGAAGATCAGAAGGCACCAGACAAGGTTCAAGAGAGGCAGGACCAATTTGGGACGTGCCTCATCATGGCATCGAGCGAGACGAAAGCAATCCATGTTGTGCCAGTACAAAGCAAGGGTACTGCAAGTCTCAAGCACATTACAGAAGAAGTTATCAGATTTACGCTTGAGAATGCCTCGAGAGATGCATGCATTTTGCAGGCAGACTCCGAAAGGGCAACAAGACAAATTCTGAGAGCAGTGCAGCAGGTCAGGAAAGTCATGAGCCTGGAAACAGAGATAAGGTTGACTGGACCAGGCCAGCATCAATCAAATGGGTTGGCTGAGAGAGCAGTACAGACAGTGAGACGCCTGGCAAATTGCCTGCGCATTCGCAGGTGACAAAGCAAACATCGACATCCTGGGCAACTTTCACCTGTATCCTTGGGCATTCAAACATGCAGCATTCCTGATCAACAGGTTCCGAGTGCTTGAAGGAACAGGGAAGACATCCTATGAGTTGAGCGCCGGCCATAGCTATAGAGGAAAGCTGGCATTGTTCGGAGAGAGCGTGATGTTCAAGCGAGTAGTCAGAAACAAAGGGTCAGATGGCTTCATCAGAGGTATATGGTGTGGGAAGCACATATGGAATGACATGCGCGCCGTCCTCACGCCTGAAGGTGCCTATGAAGCCAGGACAATTAGAAGACTGGCCGCAGAACAATCATTCAACGCCTTGGAGATGGTGATTGCAAAGGGTTTGCCATGGAACTACTCTCCTCAAGGAATCCTCATGAAGAGAGTCATTGGAAGGCAACAGAGGAATCCCACAGTCGAAGCAGACATCAATCCAGACGAGCTTGAGGAGATGTCAAAGACAGTAGCAGCGGGTTTGGTAACACCCGCACCTGGCCTAACAGCACAACCAAAGACACCAGTGGGAGCATTCGCAGCACCAGGGACACCGGCGCAAATTGGAGATGCAAGTGCTGGAGTGAAGAGAAGTGCAGAAGGACAGCGAGAAGAGGAGTCTGAGGCGAAGAGGCAAGACGTGACAGAATCACCGAGAAAGATGATGACAAAGAGAGGAGGTGCAGAGGAAGAGCAGACAGATGAGAAGAGACAAAGAGTAACCTCAGAGGAATCAATTGAGATAGATGACAAGATGGAAAAGCCAAACAAGGAAACAGAGCATGAGCCAGAAGGATCCCCGAGTGCGAAGAAGTCAAGATTGTATCCACCACACTATGCAGGCATAGAAGCAGTGGAGGTTCATGGAGATGAAGAAGCAGGGCTGGACTACATGCCAGAAGACATCACGGAAGAGCACATGGGATATGGAGGCGAAGAAGGTGAAGATCCCCCAGAAATGACAGAAGCTGAAGTTGAAGCCCTGGACGAGGAGGCAAAAGAGAAGGAAATTGAAAGAATGCTGAAACTACCAGCCATGGAAGAGTCAAAGGGGGAGGGCGTGGCAAAGGAGAATGGGTACATCATTAGCACCAAGATGGTCACCACATGGAAACATAGACTGGAACAAGGAGGATGGTTCCGGCGTGCCCGGTTAGTGGCACGACAGTTCAAAGGTAGTGTGGCAATGGAGCAAACATTCGCCCCTACGTCACTCATGATCATCCCAAAGATGATGATCCATTTGTGGATCAACTGCTTCAGCAACTACACAGGGATGACGCTCGACATCAAAGGCGCCTTTCTGATGTCCCCACAGCCGAAGGATGAAAGAGCCTATGTGAGGATTGGAGAAAAGGTGTACAAGTGTACAAATTGTTGAAATGCCTTCCTGGACAACGTACGGCAGCAGCACAGTGGTTTCAACTGTTTGCAAATGGTTGCAAGGAGTTTGACATGAAGCAAGATCAAATGCAACCAACTCTTTTCATTAAGCGTGGGGAGATGATGCTGACAGTTCACGTCGATGACGTCTTCATGATCGGAAAAGAATCTGTGCTTTTGAAATTCGTCAACTTCCTCAAGGAGAAGAAAGGATGGAAGGTAGAAGAGAAGGGACCATTTCAAGCAGGAGGAAAGTTTTTCTACTTGAAGAGGCAATTCAACGTGGCTCGAGAACATGTAGACATCAGGTGCGATAGAAAGCAGTACTATGGCCTCGAGAAGGAAATGGACCTGTTCAAGAAAGCATATAGAAAGACCCCGATGGACCAAAATGCCACGAAGAAGGATGAGTCAGCACTCTTGGAAGACAGTGACACCACAAAATACAGGAGTGTTGTGGGAAGGCTCATGTACATGGCCAGTGAAAGACCAGATGCACAATTCGCCATACAGTCACTGGCAAAGAAGATGGCAGCACCAACGCAGGAGGCATGGAAGAGAGCATGGCATCTTTAATTGTTTGTACTTATATGGCGCCATAGATTTTGGAGGGCGCCTCAGAAGAAGAGAGAAAGGCCGATCAATGCTGGACCCGAGAGAAGACGAAGATGTGGATCCAGAAGAATTTCATTTGCTGGAGGTAATCACAGACTCGGACTATGCTGGAAGGAGAGACGATCGGAAATCAACGTCTTCATTCCAGATCTATATAGACGGCAACCTCATCGAAAGCAGGGTCAGGAGCCAGAAAGCAATAGCACTATCTTCTGGAGAGGCCGAATTCGTCTCGGTCGTAGCAGGATGTTCAGATGGCATGCTGATCAAACACCTATGGCAAGAGATGTCAGGAGAAGAATGCAAGATGAATGTGAGATCCGACAGCAGTGCAGCAAGAGCAATGGTGCAGAGGCAAGGCATAGGTCGTGTACGGCACCTGGATGCCTCATTGCTTTGGGTGCAGAAAGAGAAAGAAAAGGTGTTGAGCATAGCTGCAATCCCAACAGAACTCAATTGTGCTGATGTCGGCACCAAAAGCCTCACGAAGAAGAGACTCTTCGGACTGCTCTACATGATGAAGGTGATCGACTCCATTGGAGAAAGAGTGGGACGAGAAGAATACAAGGATATAGAATACCAATACCAAATCAAAAGAGGCACAAACAAATTGATGAAAGGTGGAAAAGACCTACGTGTGGGACTTCTGCTGCTGATGGCAAGCCTAGACACGGTTGCGGGAGAGCCAATGAACTATGAGACTGAGCCCAATGCGTACAAGTTCGAATGGTGGGCACTCATTTTGTGCGCCTTGGTTGGGGCCTTGAGCGTAATGCAGTGGCTTCGGTGTATGGTGGAAAAGTTCTTTGAGAACATGTTCACCCAGGAGAGAAGACCAATGAGGTGGTCAATGAAGATGAAAGTGCAAAGAAGCAGAGGTCAGGACATGATCAAGAAACCCAAGTGATCCAAAGGCTAGATTGCAGCCTATGGAGAAAGTACGAAGAGCAAATCAAAGATCTGGAAGACCAGAAAGATGACCTACAACAGGAGCTGCTACGGGCTGAAGGAATGATTGAAGATTTGAGAGTGGATCTACAAATGGCCCGGGTGCAGCGAGAAGAAAACTTCCAGATGTATCAACTGGTAGAGAAAAGGTCTACCAAGTTTGAGAAGAAATGTTTGAATTTTCGAAGGTGTGGAAGCAGCAAGGTGATCCATTTCATGACATCTTGCCCACACTGGTCGAAAGGCGAAAGCCTCGACATGCGCCGGATATGTGTGAGTGAAGAGGCCGTGTTTGAATCATCATGATTTCCATACAGTCACTCACACATGTCCATATCTGCAAACCTTACAGGCCCAAAGCCCCTTTGAAAAGGAGCGCGACCCGCTTTTTCAAATTATGTACAACTCTTCTTTTTCAGCTGGGATGGGGATTCTTTCAGTTCCTGGCTGTATCATGCTATTGCCAATCCGGTCAGGCAGCCTGTTGCGCATTTGGTGGGGCTCTTTGGGCATGATGCTCTTGGGCTATGAGACCTGGCTGATCAGCCAAGGGGTGGTGAGGTTTGACGAGTGGGGATAAGAGAGACCTAGAGACCAAGCATGTTGAAGATGATCGCACAAAAGGCTGACTAAGCGGAAAACATCACAGACTCCCATAGCTCCCTTTTTTTTTCCTTCGGCCAACCTTGCCGAAAGGGGCCTCCAAGTGGGGTGTCTGAGGCTTTCAGTAGTGAAGGGGTGAAGGACCCCAAAGCCGAAAGTGGGGAGTTCAACCTGATGGCTTCCAGGGCTTCGATGGCTTGGTCTTTTCAATAATGTGGTGATATGCGGTTGGGTTGCTGTCCGGAAGCTGGAACCCAGCTTGGCAGACAGTGAGCAGACGCATGCAGACGCGCCTACGTGTTCCAGAAGGAACGTCTGGGAGATCCAAGTGGAAGGGACGGACATGTTCCGACCCGAAGAGGTTGATTTTTTCGTTCGGTTAGACAAGATCCTTCGCATGTTGCTGATTGGGAAATTGTTCATTCTTTAGTTAACATATGTTAACATCAATCCAGACGACCATGCCAATGTGCATATACATGTATATACCATATACTATGTATCTCAATGGCAACCCGACATGTAAAGACCGAACACCCAAACCGTCCAGCTCCGCTCCAGAAACGGTTCTTCAGCGTTGTTCGTCGGCATCGTTTGTCCTTTGCGGTCTTGGCGTCGTGGCAGATATACCGCAGTTTCCAGGATGTGATCTTCCTCCCCTTGCGCTTCTTCCCCACTTTCGTCGAAACGTCCACCATGTTGGCCTTCTTTTGGACTGCCAGGCGCGGTGATACGTTGGTGAGACGCCGATAGTTTGAGTGCAAATGCATGAGCATCGAATCAATTTTGACCTGCCGAAATGTCCTTCAACTGAGTCCAGATGATGGACCCCTGAAGATCCTGAACATAGTCTAAGAGAACCGCGAACACAAGTCTAAGTGGTGAAGTGCCTTCCTTGAGGTCAACAGGCATATGATTCAGCATGGAGCATGACTCACATCACCCAGACGTGAACAGGTGTTTCTTTTTCCAAACCACAATCCATCACTCCTTCTCTCATTGTAACTCCCATCATGACTCCCTCATGTTGGTGCTTCCGTTCGCACCCGGGAGTGCCCGTGGGGTGGTCTGACATTCCAGGCTCTACTGGACTCTGGATCTTTTCCTGGGATTCATCACTGGCTTCTATGACGCGGGTTCATTGGAACTGGAGCTGCGGCGGACGATCCGGAACTACCTGACGGGTTGGTTCACCTTTGATGTGGCGGTGGTTTGCCACCTGTTTGGATTTGGCGCTGGTGGGTGAGCTTGTCAGGTATATAGATCAGTGGATATCAGTAGTTTCAAAAGTGGCCCAACGCAGCGAAGCCTTGATTGGCAACAACAGACCCAGAAAGCACAGGTCTACAGTCTACAGTGACCCAGGAACAAGTTGTCACTTACCGCAGGTTTGCCGTCCAACCCATCCTACTCGTAACAAGCCAGGAGGGTCCAGGCAGTGTATTTTTAAACATGCATTGTTCATTCATACTTTTCTATTGCATCATACACACACATACATACACACATACATATATATATATATATTCATCCAAAGTCCCTGGATTGGATGAGGCGGCCTCTTTGCACCCAAAAAATCATTGAGCAAGGGTACAATCATTAAGTGTCTGTCCTTTTAGGCCCCAGAAGTTGAAAGGCTACACTTTGCCCTAGTGAGGAAAACGGGGCCATTGACTCTCAGGGGTTCGCACCGGTGAATCGCCCGAACCGTTACACACGGGTCGCCCAACTTCACCCGGGAGGTTCCGGACCGGAAGCGGGCGCCTGTCCCGCCCAGCCGGAACGAGGCGTGGACTGGACATCGGAGTTTCTGGACAACAATGGCATTGATGACCTGCCGCGCCTGTCCCGGACGATGCGCTTGGGAAAGATTGTGAGGCCGCTCGATGCGCTCTGGCACTGCCGCGCGTGACGATGCCTTTTTATGGTGAAGGGTTTGTGCCCCTGGTTGGGGCGACAACGTTGGGGCGACTGACAAGTGCGATTCTGACAGATCGTACTTAATGTACTTATGAAAAGACATCTCTCTCTCTCTCTATCTATCTATTACTATATATATATATAATTACAATTATATATATATATAAATAAGGGAGTTGATGAGTTGAAAAAACAATGAAGGCTTTTGTCCTCCATGAACAGGTAATGTGTATGGGTTTTCACAATGTCTTCAATCTTGTTCCTGCGGTGTGTGCATATTAACATTTACCCATGGGCTTATGCGGTGAGTGCACGTTAACATGCATTCACCCATGGGCTTAAGCTTCCGCATTCTTCACCGTTCCGATTGGTCTGACACATTGTGCAAGTTTCACAGGGATACCAAGGGATACAAGAGGCACACGATGCATCATCAACCTCAGCACCACCTCAGCATCACCAACGCCTGCAAATCCTCAACAAGTACTGCATGTACCTCACCGGATACTATGTACATCTCTTCCATGCCTTGACCCCCTCACAAGCTAATAAGGAATTGGGAGGCTCACACAGTTTCGCTTTAATCGAGCCAGTACCAAGTCTGTCAACTCTGATCCACTTGCACCACAAAGCAAGAGTTCGGGTGACAATGACCGTGCCAAAGCATACAAACTCTTGATCCCGACCAAAAGGCGCCTGCTTGCCTTCTGTCACATCAAACATGAGGTGCCAAGGGCAACGGCCTAACGAGAAGCCCTGACCCTCAAAGAAAGCATCTTCGGTGCTTTCTTTACTGGCTTCCCCGGACGAGAAGAAGTGAACCGGTTGCCGGAATCTTATTCTTCGGTTCCTCATGCTGTCGCCATTCCGCTGGGCAGCTCAACAGAACTGGCTCGGTGGACTTGGGTAACAGAAGAAACCCGATCCACTCGGTTCCATTCATTGTGGGGCTTGGGTCCCCAAAACCTCCCCATATTTTGCGTGAGCCATTGCCAACGTGGCTCTGTATGGGTTCAAGATAATGAACATTTAACGCTTTCACTGTATATATACTTAAAGGTAGTTCCTCGGTGCCGTTTGATCGACGAATCGACACTTCCCTCAATGTTGCTCAATTGTATGATTCGAGTGTGATGGAGCTCATTGTGAAAAACACCTACTCCGCTCTGAAAGAAGATGGTCGCAATTCTTTGGGTTGCGCCATCAGATCTGAATGCACACGCAACGCACTACCGGTGAGAGCTCATTTTCCCTGTTGCCATCTATTTTTTTCCTGACATGGAAGGGCTCCTGACATGGAAGGGCGAAATCATCAGCCTCAACAATCGTTGTGCCATCTACTTTTTTCTGACATGGAAGGGCTGAAGGATCAGCGAGAGGAGAGGCACACGTAAGTTGAGGAAAGGAAAGGAAAGGAAAGAACAAGAAAAGACAGGAAAGGAAAGGAAAGGAAAGAACAAGAAAGAAAAGGAAAGGGGACGGCAGTGCAGGTAAAGGAGAAGTGAAAAAAGGACACAAAAGGAAAGGACACACGCATGAAAGGAGAGGGAAGGAGAGGGAACGGGAAGGAGAGGGAACTTAGTTGCGCCATGTTGCGCCATCTATTGGCTCAACCATCATTGTTGTATCACCTTTCACAAGGGTTGCGCCATCTACTGGGCAGCTATCATGCATTGTTCCAATAGGAATCAGGAGGAAATCAAAAGGTTTCAGCAGGAAATCAATAGGCATCAAAAAAAATCAATAGGACGCCAGCAGGAATCAAAAGGAAGTCAAAAGGGCAGATGGTCCCAATGCTGTGGGTTGCGCTATCAATCCTGAATGAACTCAAATGTACCTCGCAAATAGGTCAATCGAGTTGGAAGTGGAAGCACGAGGAAAGGGAAAGGGAAGGAAATGGCCAGGGAAGGAGATGGAAATAAAAGTGGAAATCAACAGAAAAACAAAGGGAATCAACAGGAAATCACAAGAATCAACAGGAAACCAAAAGGCTTCAACCGGAAATCAATAGGAATCCAAAGGGGAAATTAGAAGGAAATCAAAAGGAATCAAAAAGACAATCAAAAGGACATCACAAGGAACCACAGGGAAACCATTAGGAATCAGCAGGAAATCAATAGGTTTCTACAGGAAATCCATCGGCAGCAAAAGGACATCATTAGGAAATCAAAAGGAATCAAAAGCAAGTCAACAGGGTAGATGGTCGCGATGCTGTGGGCTGCGCCATCAATCCTGAATGAACGCACAAATGTACCTCTCAAATAGGTCAATCGAATTGGAAGTGGAAGCACGAGGAAAGGGAAAAGGAAGGAACAGGCCAGGGAAGGAGATGGAAAGCAGAAGTGGAATCAACAGGAAAACAAAAGGAATCAACAGGACATCAACAGGTTTTTAAAGGAAATCAATAGAAATCCAAAGGAAAATAGAAGGAAATCAAAGGGTAATTGCCGGATCAGATTCGACTTCGCCGGATCAGCGTCAGGGATCAGCATCTGGGATCAGATTCTAATTGGCCGGATCAGCGTCGTAGGATCAGATTTTAGCGGGACGGTCGGGATGGTCGGGACGGTCGGTGCACAACCAGTTATAACGACAGTAGGAATATATAACAGTTTTTATTCGACTTCGCCGAATCTCAGCAACGACAAGACGCTTGGGCGGGATGGCTGGGATGGATGAGACCTGCGTGACAACAGTGAGGATGACGGTCGGGATGGTCGGGACGGTCGGGATGGACGAGACCTGCGTGACAACAGTGAGGATGATGGTCGGGATGGTCGGGATGGATGAGACCTGCGTGAGATCAGTGAGGATGACGGTCGGGATGGTCGGGATGGTGTTGCCTAGCACGCGCCCGCCCGTCATTCCTGCGATTCCGATCTGACCAATCAGATTCCGAGCCTATGAATCCGATCTGAAATTAGATTCCGATCCTATGAATCCGATCCGAACAACACCCGAAATCAAAAGGAATCAACAGGAAAATCAAAAGGAACCACAAGGAAACCAATAGGAATCAGCAGGAAACCAAAAGATTTCAACACGAAATCAATAGGCGCCAACAGGAAATCCATAGCCATGTCAGGAAATCAAAGCTGAACAGGAAATGACAAGGGCAGATGGTCGCAATGCTTTGGGTTGCGCCATCAATTCTGACCGCACAAGCAACGCCCTACCAGTGAGAGCTCATTTTTCCTTTGCGCCATCTACTGTATTTTTTCCTGACCCGTTGGGGCAAATCACTACCCACAAAAGTCGTTGTGCCATCTACCCCCCCCCACCTGCAATCACACCAAAAAAGTGTCCCGAGGTGCCATCTACCCACCCTCCCATTCTTTCCGAGTTGTTCCTGACACTTTCAAAGCGGTATATAATGTACTGTAGATAAAACACAAAAGTATGAAAACACAATAAACAAGCAAAACAAAAAAACAAACAGACCGACTCATACCAACAATGAAACAATTCAAAAGCAAACAAACAACAAACGACAACAAAAACAATAAGACAAAACAGACAAACAACACGAAGAAACGCGTAAGTACGCAAGCACGCACGCAAGCAAACAGCGCCCTGTTCCCTTGTAATCAAAGGTGCGTTCATGGGAGTCCTTTCTCCACCAAGTCTTATATGAAATAGGAATTGGTAATGGGAAACCAATGTACCTGGAAACATCTCATAGGAAACATCTCATATCTAGGCAAAAACACTCAGATCACGATCTATTTGCATCAAACCAGGATCACAAACGAATGCACGAGACAACACTCTGTGCATGGGGTCAAGGAACGCATTGTGTTTCTTGAGAAAACCTGAAAACTGCGGCGAGCTGAAGGAGTGAAACGGTTCTTGTTCACAACTCATCAACATCAACGTGGTTTCTTTGTCACAAGTCTGTCTCAATCACCGATCGAACGTCAACAAGAATTTACAAGAATGGTAAACAGTTTCGTTTTTACATGGTCTCTTGCACATCACAAGTGCAAACAAATTCACATTGACATGTGCGAACTCAAATATCCAGTCCAGTCAAGCACAGCATCATCCATGCATATATACCGCACGGCTGCGTTTCGCATGCTTGCACTTGAAGGAGCCTGTCGCAGGCTCGCGCATCGCAAAACAGTGGGTCGCATGTTCGTGCAACGTGTCAAAAGTTCGTGCAGCGCACAACAGTGTGTCGAAGCTCGCAGTTACAGCAGCGCATCGCATGCTCGTGCATGGTGAAGCAGTGTCTCAAATGTTTGTGGAATGGGAAACCGTGTCAGTCTCTGTGTTGATTGCTCCACATCCCCTACTCCCGCCGCCACAGCCCCGAAACACACTGTTGTGTCCACATAGTGGCGTGGTGTACGAACGAAAGCCTTTGAATTCCTCTTACATATGCGACATGAATGCGGTCCTCGCTCGCGCGTGCGGTGACGTAGTCACGGAGCCTCTGAGCCACATAACACACAAACGAGCTACATGACTAACTGACTGGCCGACTGGCTAACTAACTAACGTTGGTGTCGCTGTCGCAGGCTTTTGCGTCTCAGCCGAATGCTAAAGCTGGGCACGTTGTCCGAGTCCATGATGGATCAGCTGAGCATGCAGGGCTCCCTGCACGCAGGAATTCTTCGAGACTTGGACAAAGCATTGCGATGACATGTTGAACATTGCAGAGAAGATGCAGCACCTCTATGCTCTTCAAGTTTGTCCAATCAACATCCTTTTCACACACCAACAAGTATAGATTTATGTGGTCAACTCTAAGTCAGCTTTGGCATTTTTTTCACAGATGGAATGTTTGTGACCTAATGATGACAGCATATAAAACCCCAAGCATGAATTTGTGTTTGATTGAACACGTTGTGCTTTGGCTGGCTTCACGGCCAACAACATCTTGTTGTGTCAACAACTTTTTCAGAAGCACTAAGTGACTAAGTGTCAAACCCGGGGAACACCATATAAAAGCATGTTGTTATTCGTGAACTGAACGCCTCCGCATAATTCAGGGTATGGTCGTTTTTTTGGGGGGCGTTCTTGATTCTCTAGGTAGCCATTCCTAGCCTACCACCAGGACAAGTACCATGTGATTCTCTAGAATGAGGCCTAGTGGTCCCACATCGGATAGTTTCCAGTTCCATTGTCTTCTGATATGGTCCCACAGCTCACGAGCTCTCAGGGATCGTGATTTGGCTCTTGCTCATGAGCCATGTGGTGGCGTGCTTTTGGTTCGGCATCGCGGAGCTTGAAGGAGGGCCAAGCTTTTTGGCGATGAGAGGGGGACCCTTCGCCTTTCAGAGCCGGTGGAAGAGAGATGCTCCAACTTGGAAGGGGATCAGATGATACATGATGATACCGTTTGCAGATTTCGTGGGGAATGTCGGGAGTGTAATGGAAAGCCACCCCAAATCATAATTTCACTGCCCAACTGGTAGAACAAAAGTGCGCAGGTCCAACGGTCCAAGAAACCTTAAACAACAACATCATTGAATCATTGACTTTACAAAATGCTTTTCAACGGGCGAACCCGATTGGCCTCTTCGGACACCTATGGTGCGGTTTGGGAGCTCTTTACTTTGTTTTGGTGCCAGGCAGGATCTGACTTCTTGGGTCTTGAACAGCGCTGCAGCTACTGATAGATCTTTACCTTCCGGAATGTTAACCGGGAGAGATGCATTTGACATGCTGAAGGTCCACAAAGGTCCAAAAAGGCCGGGTGAATGACATGCTTTTTACGCTTTCAGGCCGTTGGCCCCAAATACGCTTCCAGCGTGGCGAGCGGCGAGAGCTAAGGCTGGGTGAGTGTCAATCAGATGGAAGACAAATCGCTGCTGTTTCAGTATGCCTCTCGAAAATGGATCACAGGTTTGGGTGGGGAACTTGGAAGGTAGCTTGACCCCTCTTTACCCTCTTTTGTTCAGTGGTTTGGAGATTTTGTTGGAGTCAAGCCGCTGATTTGTGTTGATTGCGGTGGGTGGGCACGGCGCGGATTTTCTGGGTGCCAGGCTGTACTTCTTGTGCCACAACTTGTGGACCTTGAAACCTTGGGGCTCTGCAGGATGCTTCAGTCTCAAACTCCAAGGTCTTGATGGACCAAAAGCTCGATGAACCTTGCCTTTTTGGCTCAGGGTTTACTGATGTTTGCTGTTTACATGGGGGTAGCGCTAAGAAATGATTCTGGGGGTATCTCAATGGGTGGAATCATTTTTCTGAAATCATTTCCTTGGAATCATTTTTTGGCAGGGGGGTCATAGGGGGTGTCAACGATGTCAGGAATCATTTGTACATAACTGTACTGAGAACATACTATAACGTAGTGTCCAGCGCGAAACTTCCCTGGATTCCAGGGTTCACTGATATCAGTTTGTTAGGGGGGTGCAACGGTCAGAATCATTGTCAGCAACCTATCTCACGCACACCCAGACTAATTCAAAGTTATTCCAGGGGGGGTTGAGTCAGGGACCCCATCAGAACGCATCCCCCATCAGTTACTAATTTTTGAAGGGGGGCGACAATCTGTTCTTTTGGTCCTGATACAAAGCGTTTGACCTTTAATTTGGTCATATTGATGGGATCATCGTCGTAGATGGTATGAAGTAGATGGCGCTATGCTCTTTTCTCTCCAAACAGAGGCCACATGCTTGCATTGGGCGGTAGCCCAGTTGGGTGTGGGCCAGACCGAGCTGGAAGCCGTGGGCCTTTTCGAGAAGCTCTTCTCCATTGGAGCCGCTAGGAGTTGCAGAGGAGAGGAGAAGGTGTGGCAAAGTGAGAGGGCAAACCGTGGTCGAATGTTGAAGTTGAGGGCTCGCAGGGTTTGGGGTTCAAACTAAAACTGTCAAATCGACCGACCCAGGATTCAGGTTGGTCTGAAGATGAAAGACTGTCTAGCATTGAAAGACGATTCCAACGAGATCGGGTCTAACAGTACCCTCTCCCCGGATGTATTAAAATATAACCTTCCAAAATTTTCATATTTGGACTGCTCAGCACACTTCCAAGAAATTGTACCCCTTCCAAGTGCTTTCACCTCCCTGTTCCGGGTAAACTTGTGTGTGACAGGACACATTTCCAACTAGAAGATATGATCCAGATCTTGGAGTTCGGAACCAACAACTCTAAATTGGCAGTAGTGGTGCTTGTGGGGGTTGACTGCAGTGTTCTCCAACCATCTGGATTTTAGCACATGTTTGGGATGACGTGATCCAGGACCTCGACATGTGTGTGTAGTGTTATCTAACCTTGTTGAATTGGACCTGACTTCTAACAAAAGAGGACCAAACTTTAACCTGTCCTTTCACCAATGCTGCTGTTTGGAATTCCACAAAAAATACAACTTAAAAATTAAAACTGTGTGAACTCTCCGATCTTTACAAATGTTCAAACATTAAATCCGTGAACATTTAATGATTTCCACCTTTTTTCACAATTTGTTTCCGACTTTTCACTGGTTAAGCTATTTTCAGCAAATGTTCACAGACAACGCACAACTTGATAAGAATCTGTGCGTGTTCTCACCTATTTTAGTTAATTTCGCAAGCTTTTCCCAAAAACATGATTCGGCGACACATGTATGATTTATTGATTCTATGAAAAAAAATGCCGACATTTTCGACAATAACATACTTCGTCAACTATGGGTGATTTCGCATATATATATAAGTAACTTTCTCAGTTTTTCACCAAATTATATATATATATATATGTAAGGCCAAGACAACTTTCAAGGTTCGTGTCCGGATTTGGCAAACACCACCAGTTTGTCTCCCTGCAATTTGGTGGGTTTGTGGTCGCTCAACTAGTCAACGTTTTTGTCCAGAAAATGTGCTTTTGACCCACTGCCCGCACTTTAAGAGCTTGAGCAGCGGCCATGAGCTCAAAGAATTATATTGGCTCCCAAGAACATGTGAACAAAGCAATCGATGCCGATGGTTGTGGATTCAGAATGATCTTTCACACTGGAGGAATCCATGAAATCAACCCACTTCGCCAGCATCCACAAATGGCAACCCCAAACTAGTAATTGTAACAACCAGCGGCACCTACCGACGGCACCGAAAGAAGCACTGGATGTGGTCATTGATTGTTCATCCACAGCGCTCCCCGGGCGTAAGGCGTACGCCACTCAAAATATGGTTGTTTTTGTAGCGGCGTAAGGCTCGGCTGCTCGGTGTCCCTTCGCGCCGTGATCGCTGATTTCTTTAGGTGATGTTCGCTGCCCTCTTCAGCTTTTCCACCCTCCTGAGCTTCTAGGACACACACGGCGTGGAGTCTTTTCGCAGGGGGAACACGTTTTGGGGAAGTGGCTCGCACCCTTCCACTGAGTTTGGACGGGGCTTGTGCCACTTGCTGAAGCTTGACAGACTGGGCTTGTGTGTCCAACATAAACTCATGGTTCCCAAGCACTTCTGATGTTGAGTGCATTTTCTTAAAAGACCAACGTTGGTGGCACGTTTGTTTGCAGATCAAAGAACTTGTCGCCCACAAGAACTTGGCCAAATCAATGGGGGGGTATGGCCACCGCGATCACAGCATGCTTGGGGTAGACATCTGAGGCTCTATGACCTCCTTGCTGGCAAATATCTCACGGATGAGAAGCGCAGAGGTGCACGAGTTCAAGATGCTGCGCCGGTTTCTGGCCGACAACCTCATAGACGCTTTGCATATACCTGATCGGAACAAAATTCATCAAAAATCATATCTTCATTGCGACTCACGGCTTTGGATGTTGTTTTGTGGGATGGATGAAACTGACCCCCCATGTGCGAAATCTGCTCCAAAACCAAGAGAAAGAAGCGTGCTTCTGACTCATTGACAGCTTCCAAGTCAGAAGAAGAGTGAGGTGAGGCAAGATGAGTTCCGAACACCTGGTCGAACAAGTGAAATTCCACCTCCAGGAAGTCCGTTGATCAAATCTGATTTCCACTGAAAATGGCCCGCGTGCAAGTGGCCTGCCTCCAAGATTGTGCTAGGTCTTGCACCCTCTTACACTGCAGCATCCATGGTTCTCAAAGCTCCCAAATGCTCGCAAAAGATATCAAAAGCATGAGAGCTTTGGCTTTGCCCCATCGGGAGGCTCGGTCAGATGCTCCGGGGCTTCTTCGGGATTGGCTCAGGACCACGACCTTTCACATCGCATCACGCGCTTCTTGCAACACCGGTATGCAGTCCAAAAGAACGTGCAAGCGGTTGATGCGACTCGGTGCCGATGGAAAAGCGCCTGAAAGCGCAAAAACTGGGACCATCAGGCAGGGACTTTTTTTGTGGAACACAGGTTCAGCTGAGCTGGTCTGCAAACCTCCCTGTTCATGTTTAGTGGCGGGCTTGTCTATATGAATGCTTGGCCTAAGCAACACCTGGGTGTGCGTCAGGTTTTGGACACTTTTTGTGGGAGGTAGGAGTTGCGTGAGCTGCGTAAGCAAGCCCAACTTTAGCATACATGTCAGATTTACAGTGGACGTGGTCAGGAAACTTCATATACCATTGAAACATGCAGGGCGTGTTTCCCGCCAAACTTGAACTTCCTTAGAATAGGTATACGAACTCTTTGCTGCTCACCGCCTAGCCGCTGCGGATGCCACATGCCCAGCAGTGATTGTCAAGTGCCAATCCATTCTGCCAGATATCTCTGCTCGAACCGCGGTGCGTGCTTTACTTGGAAACAGATCGCACGTAAGCTGTGGCTGTGGCTTGGTGTAAAGATTTCTTGGCGTAAGTGCTGCTTCCTTGCAAGACTTGCAAGCTGCCATCGTGGTCGCGTAAGGGACCAGGCACGCTGCTTACGCAGGGGGCCATTTAAAAGAGCATTGTCAATGACATAGGCAGATGCTCAAACCGTGACCGTCTGACCGTCTGACCGACTGAGGCGACGCCCGACATCTTGGAGTTGTTGTCGAAGTCCTTGAAAGGCGCGGCGGAGGGCACGCGTCGAGGGTTGAGCGGGTGGAGCGGGATCCGAGCCAAGTCTTTTCGGTCGTGAACAAGCTGCAAGCATCTGCAAGCTGTGCAAATATCTTCCAAACACATAATTATGAGAACCCCAAAAACATAGCAGAGAACCCCAGGCCTCAGTGATGACATTTTCATGGCCATGAATGTGATGATACCAATACCATCCCAGTCTTTCGTTCGAAACCCGGATCTCGAAGAGTGGTTCGCCCAGCCACAGGTGAGCTGCAGGTGCAACGGTACAAGGAGAGTCGAATGAATCGGTCAAAGCGTTGGACCAGCTCAGCTCTGGATGCTGTTTGTGTATGTGAGTGTCGTTAAAAAAAACACATCTACATTGTCCATTTTTTAGTAAACAATTTTTCAAGACTGATTTTTCATGATTTTGCTATATATAGGTTGTTGCAGAATTTGGCAACACACCGAGTTGAGCGATCGACACCAGGCGTAACGTAAAAGTGACAGTCAAAGAATGTTGCAGATGGTGACGGATGTCAGAAAGAAACAGAGCTCGAGCACCGAGCACGTCACTCAAATCGTGGTTTTTTCCGCGGGTCCGATCGTTTTGGCCGTGATTCCAAGATTCACAGCTTAAGACGTGAGCATCTGTGACTAGGAATTTATTTTTACCTTTATTGCACACACATCCAAAAGAAATTCCAAAAAAAAACTTGCCACCGACATCCCAAATGTAGCACTTCTCAGAGCGTGTTTCTCTACGTCTTGTTCTCTCATGTTCTGACCATCGCCGCGGACCGGATCGGCGTCCGGCCGAGGAGTGCCTGAAGGAGTGGGATCTGACGAAAGAGCTGCACGACTGTGGCTTCCCGGGGATCTTCGAGGTCCGCTCCGTGGCCTTGCACGGCCTCAAGCCGCCCGGTGACCAGTGGTGGTGATCAGTGGTTCAGTGGTCGGGTGAAAAAAGGAAGGAGGGTCACAGAGTATCCAGCTATGACGAGAGCTGTAGCTGAAGATGGAATAGCTATGATAAGTATAGCTTTAGGACCTTATAGATCTTATAATTAGTATTAGATGCCCTCAAGTTTTCGGTTTTGTTACAGGCGTTTTAGATTATACTAGGCCCATGTGTTTCCCAAGAGAGTGCCTATGGAAACCCAGATGGCTCCCAATCATTCACAGTAAGATCCCTGAGAAAGCTGGCAAAATCTCAGAGAAAATCTTCAGCGCTCTTGCTTTTTTGGTCGCACAACTAAAAAAAGCAAGATTGTACAAGGTTTTGGGTGGTAGTGGTGTGGGTTTGCCTTGAGATGCCTTGAGTATTTCTTCTTTATTTGTTGGAGTTTGATTGTCTTTTTTGTGGGTTATCTATGGGCCTGATGATTTCCCACACTAAGCCCACCAAACTCAAAGCACCAAACAAACCTGACCAAATCCCAACCAAATCCAAAAAATGGGCTGGGACCAGAAATTAAGATCCAATTGACCAACCTCACCCAGACTCCACTTGCCACCCAAAGATTATAGGACTTCACTTTGTTTCGCTTGTGGCCCAATATCTGGTTTAGCTGTGCAGGCCCTTTCTACTGTCTTCGTTGAGGAGCACAGTAGAATTTGACAACGGTTCATTTTCCCTCAAAGCAACCATTTGTTTTGAGATCAACACTGATTCACCGGCCAGTGGCGATGCAAGGCCCACGGCCTGAGCATGGAATCGAATGTCTATACCTAGTCAATTCAGTTTGACTACAGAAACCTGGGGTACCATGGGAGTTTTCAGGGGTTGGAATGGAGGGCCATTTAATTTAGGAATTTGTTTTGTTCTTTTTTAGGTTTTTTTGTTTCTGGTGGCTTTTGGCTTTCGTGGCTTTTGTGGCTTCCGTGGCTTTTGTGGCTTCCGTGGCTAGTGTGGCTTCCGTGGCTTTTGTGGCTTCCGTGGCTTTTGGCTTTGGTGACTTTCGTGGCTTCTGTGGCTTTTGGCTTTATTGGCTTCCGTGGCTTCTGTGGCTTTTGTGGCGTTTGGCTTTCGTTGCTTTCGTGGCTTCTGGCTGTTTGCTACTAGTCCATCTTTGGAGGAATGTGAAGTCTGAGGCACAGCTACCAGATGTAAGACGGTCTTGTTTTCATCCAGACGATTCCTTTGGTGGCTTTTCGCTTTTGGTGGCTTTTGATGACTTTGACTTTCGGCGGCTTTTTTGCCTTTTCGTGGCTTCGGCTGGCTTCTGTTGGCTTTTCGTGTCTTCATTCACTGATATGGTGTAAATGTGCCTGGCTGTTTGCCAGCTATGACAGCGCCCAAATCTGTCTACCTATCCATCTATCTGTCTATATCTATCAGTCTATATCGATCTATTTTTCTATCTGTCTGTCTATCCATCTATCTAACTTTCTTTCTTTCTTTCTTTCTCTTTGGCAGCTGTTCTCCTATCTGTTTTTGCTTTTGCTTTTCCATTTGTTAGCTTTGCAGAGAAGAAACCAAACAAGGAAGCAAGCAAGCAAGCCAGCCAGCCAGCAAGCCAGCCAGCCAGCAAGCCAGCCAGCCAGCAAGCCAGCAAGCCAGCAAGCCAGCAAGCCAGCAAGCGAGCAAGCGAGCAAGCCAGCAAGCCAGCAAGCCAGCAAGCCAGCAAGCCAGCCAGCCCGCCAGCCGGCCAGCCAGCCAGCCAGCAAGCAAGCAATGCTCACGTTTGGATCTGGTGATCTCTCTGACACCTACACTATTCCAAAGTATTTTGCCAGCTACGACAGCTCCCAAATCTGTCTACCTATCCATCTATCTGTCTATATCTATCTGTCTCTATCTGTCTGTCTATCTATCTATCTATCTATCTATCTATCTCTCTGTCTGTCTGTTTGTCTGTCTGTCTGTCTATCGATCTATCTATCTATCTATCTTTCGATCTATCTATCTATCTGTCTGTCTATCGATCTATCTATCTATCTCTTTCTTTCTTTTGTCCGACTTTCTTTCTGTCTGTCTGTTTGTCTTTCCTTCTTTCTTTCCTATCTACCTATCTACCTATCCTATCCTATCCTATCCTATCCAATCCAATCCAATCTAAATCTCATCTAATCTAATCTAATCTAATCTTATCATCTTTTCTTTTCTTATCTTATCTTATCTTATCGTATCTTATCTATCTATCTATCTGTCTATCTATCTATCTATCTATCTATCTTTCCATCTATCTATCTATCTATCCATCTATCTATCTATCTTTCTTTCTTTCATTCTTATCTATCTTATCTATCTCTTTTTATCTTATCTATCTTATCTATCTAATTTATCTTATCTATCTTATCTATCTAATCTATCTAATCTACCTAGCTACCTAGCTACCTAGCTATCTATCTATCTAGATATCTAGCACCTGCCACGAAATCTGCACTTCAAGGTCCACAAAGTACTGTGCCTGCCACGAAATCTGCACTCCAAGGCCCACAAAGTCCTGCACCTGCCACGAAATCTGCACTCCAAGGCCCACAAAGTCCTGCACCTGCCACGAAAGTCCTGCACCTGCCACGGAATCTGCACTTCAAGGTCCACAAAGTACTGCGCCTGCCACGAAAAACAAAAACATCCAAGACAAAAACAAGAAAACATCCTAAATTTAATCTGAGCCCGGATGGAATCGACCCGGACTGAACACCAACCCATTTGCGGTACTTGGACCATCGTGGATTCTTAGATTTTCTCGCGTCGTCCCAATAGAGTCTCTCCTCAGACGAATTAGGCCGGAGATGCACGCGGTCGGCGATGTGATTTTCGCCGCGGGGTCACTGGCAACCACATTCTTCTTCTTGGCCAAAGGGGGCTTTGCATATTCTCGCCACTGGTTATTTCAAGGGAGCGGTGTGAAGCGTGAAGCCAAGTGTCAGCACGAGGGCTGAGAGTTTGGGTTCCGGCTGCAAAACATCACAGAGAGATACATCATAGACTTGTATTTTTGTAAACTGATATTAGTATATTAGAGTTCTGGCAAGGGCAAGAGATGATGGGTGAGCACCCGACTACCTGAGAAAATACTCGCTTGTGCACCCGAAGCCTGTTGACTGCACGGTATGATGTGGATGTTCCCTGGAGGCCAGGAGATATATTATAGGAACCGGATATGCCTTAGGTTTACAAGAAACAATACAGACCACAGAAAAGCCACGCAGATCCACGCAGATACCCATTCCATTATATATTCCTTTGGCAACTCGGCACATACACATACGTCAATGAAAGCGGCTTGTTGCTTCTGGTGGTAGAGCTCCTGCAGCATTGACCCGAAAGTAATTGCTTCACCCCACGCAGACCAGTGTTTGTTCAGTATTCTCTGGTGTGATGAACTCAGATAAGTGCGTGTGCGAATCCCTGGACGGGAGTGTAACTTCCCCCGCACTAAGAAAGGTACGTAAGTGCATAAGTCTGAAAGTAAACACAAAGGTACAGGTGTGTGGGAAAAAAAACAGGTAAACCGCCTAATGATAGAAATCCAAGAAACGATCAACTAGACTCCAGCCTTGGTTTTGGGATTCCCTTGGTCTGTCAACTCTTTTTAAGGCATTATTTTGAATTGTGCAAGGATAGATTATGTTTTAAGGCAAAGTCAACAACTGAACTTTATCCTTAAGATGATGGACCATGCATCTGCCCCGGACATGAGAATGCCCCCCTGGCAGTAGAAGCTTGTTGATGAATGCATCACCTATTTTCATGGATAGCATCCCTACTAATATGTATCAGACCCCCGCTGAACCCAATGCCATGAGACGGGCAGATTGAATTGCACTACGAGAAGGGACCCAAATCTTGGCATGAGGTAGATTTTGAGGGAATGGGCATGGTGACTGTTGACCCACCCAAATTCTTCACATGTTTGTTCTTTCTTGCTGCCCAAAGTATGTATTCCAAATATGACTCCTAGTTGCTCGCAAGACACATGCATCAAGAAAACGTTTGGTTGAGCTCATCAAGCTTGCCACAAGGAGAATTTTCAGAGAGGAATCCACTGTGTTGCACCTGGGTGGCCGAAATGTGCCTTTGGACCAAATGGACCTACGCTGGGGATTTGGTTTCGAAGGAGACTGAGAAACGGGGGAACCTTTCCACCCCGCCGGTGGGAAAACTCGGTTAGAGGCATCAGCAAAAGACATACCTCAATAAAAGGGCAAACACAAACACCCCTATTTGTGACGATATATGAAAACTATGTATAGTATTGTATATTTAGTATATTATCACACCAAAACTATATATATATATATACATATTAGTAGACCTTAGCCCCCCGTCCAAAACGCACCTTTGACACGTGTTGCTCACATATGCTTGTCTCGTTGTTTCTTGAGATCAAGTATTCCTTCACACATCGGACATATCCATCGCCTCCTCTATATTGCGAGAAACTGCAAGACACATTCCTTTAGAGAAGACTCCCTTCACACAAGTTTTTTACTGTTTATGTAAGCCTCTTTGGTTTTGAAGTGCGCCCGGTCTAGTGCTGTCCCAGCTCTGTTTCATTGATATGTTTTCTCTCAACAACATCCTCCATTGCCAGAAAGTGTACTGTACTCGTCTATAAGGGCCTTCATGTCCCCGACTATAAGGGTCCCATCCTCTATCCATGCTTATGCTTGGTCATTTTAAAGTATGGTCCTTGCAATTACATCCTTTCTTCCTGAAACTCAAACATGTAAAATTTCAGGCATGGTTCTTTACTTTGTGAGGGCTTCGCTTTGTATCATGAGCGTTTCCTTTTATGCGTTGTAAAGGTCGTTTTGTCTACAAAGGTATTCCTCTTTGCAATGTTGAAATTATCGTGGAAAACACTCATGATTCATCAGAGTTCCTACATCGCCCCTGAGCCTGCCCCCAAGATTGGTCCAAGTCCAGAAAAGTGTTGTTGCAAAACGTCCTGTGGGATGTCAAAATCAATCAATCTTAAATAGTGCCTTAGTAGACGAGACACATTTAGATGAGCAGCTTCAAACAATCGGAAAAAAGGCGCAACTGAAAAATAAAGCATTGTTTCCAAATCTGCTGAACAAAGCAGCAAAGGGATTCCGGCTGGTGAGGCATCCATACTCCAGAACGGAATCAATCCACCATTGTTCGTACGCTGATCTGTGGTGTGAAAACTCAGTTGATCCTGATCAGAACAGGCTAAGCACAGTGTGTTTCCTTGTGTGGTTGGTTCCTCATTAAGGTCTTAATCGAGCCAAATCTATTCTGGCTTCCATGGTTAAATTCCCCCAAATGCACCAAAACGGTTCTCATCCTCCAAGAACCCTTATTTGTGTCCAAAATGGGCCCGTGTGCGGTTCACACCTTCCGATTTGGGCCAATCGTGGTGGGCATTGGGGCGGGGCCCAAGGCGGGGATGCAGGATCTCATGAAACACCTCCAAAGTGGTCGGATGTTGTCGGAAACCTGTGTGAAACACCCTTTTGTTTATTTGAGTCAAGGTCTTCATAAGATTGACGACATGTTCCTGTCAAGGGATTGAATATGATTGAATCCTCCAACCCAGAACAGTTTCGTTTGAGAAGGACTAACCATTCAAGCGATCTTGTCGATAATGCCAGCTGGTTCCCTGGTTTGCCAAGAAGCTTGTTACGTCACGTGTCCAAGGTGAACAACGCGACATGCACACCCCTAAAATCCATATCAAGTCTTCTAAAAATTACTTTGATTTGAACAACCAGCGGACATCGTTCCACAACAGTTTCTGGCAATTATTCAGGTTTGTCACACAAAAACAGCTAGTCCTAGGTTCCCTGGTTTGATGGAGGTGAACAATCAACCAATGACCCATCTTTCTCCATATCAAGCAGCCAACAGTAGCGCCGCTTGTTTGCATGCTGCCCCTGTGTCGAGAAACACACCACAGGCCATCGAAAAGGTCATCCACACAACTCACACATTTGGTCCCCTACTTGTAGCCCACAAAGTCACACAGTTGTAGCCCACTCTGCGTCTTTACCCTGTCTTTCTGCGTCCTGTGACTGCCCAGATCTGAGACCTCGACCGCGTGTGACAGGAGACCTCTCGCGTCATCTCGGTGGATGTGGATGCGGTGTCCGACTACTTGGGCCAGGTCAACGAGACGCGGTCGATCACCTCAGCCTATGCGAGGCGTTGTGTGGATGAGATCAACCGTGTTGGTGCGGTGTCCGACTTGTGGGAAGACTATGAAGCGGAAGAGGATGAGGCAGGGCCTGGCAGGGCCTGGGCTGGCAACCTGAATTTTTCCGTTCTTCTTTTTTAAGAAAGGAAAGTTAGACGAAGCAGGTGAAGCATAGCAAAGCGATTTTCGGGAAAACCCATAGCAAAGTTTTTCGAGATCTTCGTCCGGAGGCCCAAGCCTCGACACCGCGACATGGAAAGAACAAGAACGGCCTTGGCCTGGCAAAGATCATCCCTTGGGCCGAGGAGTTCCCTTCATTTTGAGACTTGACGGGTCAGGATGGGTCAGGGAGGAGGAAAGAAGCATGGCTTGCATAGGGGAAAGACAACAATGTGACGAATTGGGAATCAACAAGCATGTGAATGGCGTGGGAGACTTGTTGACATTCTTGTCCAATGTTACAGCATGGTTAGCGGTACGAGTGCCTATGCAGAATTGTGGCAACAGTCTGTGGGACACTCCGAAACATGGGTTCCTCACCAGGTGCATGTCCACACCGAGAGGTGCATGTCCAGGTGGGGTGTTCTGCACTCTTGACCTATTTGACCAATCCTCATGTGGTGACTCTATTGATGCATGAAAAACGGTGAGAAACGATACGTTGCCCACTTACCATTCGGCACCGCTTCAAAGGACATCAATTCTGCGGTCTTTGAGATTGGAAGATGTCTGGCGTCCAGATGGAAGAACTGTCATGAGCTTGTTACGGTGATGCCAGAAGATAAGATAATTACTGTCCAAGGCCTTGTATGCAAGAAGCAGTTGCTGGCAGCTCTGATCGCTGCATTCATTTCTAGTCTAACTCGTTTACATCCATTTGGCCATTTGGTTTTAGATTGTGCTTGTTGGGCTATCGCACTCCTTGGATGTCGGAACAGCAAGATTTTGTTGTCAATACTGCATTCTTCCCTGAGCCTGATTTGTCCGGGGGGCCAAGAATGTTTCTTTGGTGGGCGAAATTTGCCATCAATGTGGTACGCCATGAGTTGCGGCCATATGGCCATGCAGAAGATCAGCCAGGTGCCACGGAGTGGCGTAAACTCCGCGTCGCCACCGATCAGTCTTGGCCCAAAAAGGCTTGAAGATTCATTGCTTCGGATGAATCATGACATATCTTCCCTGAAGGGCGTGACTAACACCACCCCAGACATACATGTGGGTCCAGATGGTCAACCTTTGAAATTCGCAAGTGTTTGTTAAGAGTTTCCCCAAAATGCATCATATGGATGATGCTCACAAGCACGACACGAATCGAAGTCTCAGCGGCCATTGAGTGGCCTGTGTGGTACATTTTCTTCTCACTAGCTTCTTCGGGAACCATTGAAGGGCACAACAAAGATTGGTTGGTTCCGGTTGAAAGGCCCTCCGGAGTGTCCTTGCTTGGGGACTTCATTCAAGTCCTCCACTCAAAAAGGCACAACACATGTCTTACATATTTGCCCTGCACCAAAGGTGGAGGGGCATGCGGCAAACGTCGTGGCAACTTGACCCGGATGTGGCCCAATACATCCAAGCCCAAAGCACCATTCTTGGCGACAGGTCCGATGTTGCTCAAATGTCAACCCGAGAACAGTGTTTTCATGTGTTTTCTATTTTTTGGACCCCCCGCCCCTGAACAGAACAGCACACTCCGAACACAAGTAACAGAATCACATATGATTACCATTTTCTATTGGAATTACCCAGACCCAAGTCAAACAGTTTCAGGTACATAATTGGAAGTTATATTTGACCCTTCTTCTAATCTCAACCTGGCCCCTAGCCATGTTCCTGGATTCCTTCCCTCCAACGCTAGCATGAGGTTGGACAACAATAGCAACAACGACAACGACAAAATGTACAGCTACAACAATTGACAAGTAAGTATCACCACAATAACTGTACAACAGCAACAACAAGCAGCGAGAGCAGCAACAATTCGTTGGTGGTTACAACTGTTGGAGTTCTTGGAATGTCAAGAGAACCTCTTCCAGAAACCTCTTGTTTATTCAACCCCTTGGGGCACATTCCAGTCACGCGAAGACATGCGAAGGCATTGAAATTCAGGTCTGTACAGCGCCGCAGCGCGAGGGCATTCTTTTGATGAGAAGCCCAAAACCAACCACCCCCGCCCAGCTTCAAATAGAACTTGTCAAAGTAGTTGGCGTTCTTGCTACTAGTAGCGTCCTTGCTCCTAGTAGTACGACCAGGAGCTTCTAGTAGCGAACATTGTTCCTAGTAGCGATGCCAGGAGCCCCTAGTAGCGTTCTTGCTCCTTCTGAAGTCCGTTAAGATGCCAACATGAAAGGTCATGAAAGTACATAGCGTACGTCCCATTGGGATTGATGGGATCTTGCCAACGAATGCAAATACCTTTTTACATAAGGCCTACAGTAACCTGTTTGGGAGTTGCGCCTTCTACTTTGACCCCCCTGGTGTTTCTCTCTGAAGGATGCTCTCGCCTTGCATGATCACTCGTTCCTCAGCGAGAGACAGCGACCTCTGATGTAGCGGTACGTATGCCGCTCCTAGGGTTTGCCCAACACCGTTGGATCCCAGCGCATGTAAATGCAACATTTCATAAAGCCCAGGCAGCCAGGTGTACTCCGTTTGGTCAATGGTTGGGTTCTGTTCTGGCAGTGATTGTGATCCGGCTTCTTCAAGATGTATTTCCATCTTTGATGTCCAGGCTGACTCTGGATCTTGGCCTCGCACACCTGTTCCATTCGCTCCATCAATGCAAGGGTTCATGCCGATGTCGGTGCAGGTTCAGAGTCGACCAGGGCGGTTGAGTCGTCTGATCCAACGGCAGACGAGGCGTCCACCTTTCGGTGCGGCGGAACGCGTCCACGAAGAGCCCAAAAGGACGATCCGCGCGAACCAGGGTCGATGGTGTCCAGCTGTACGTGTCCGTGGTCCAGGGATGGTCCATGGTCGAACGTGTCGTGGGCCTGCGTCTCCAGGTGGTACCAGTGTTTTCCTGAAACTGCTGATCAGGAGCTCGGGTAGAACCTCTTCTGGGCAGTTTGAAGCAACTCATACTCCGCGTTGGGTTGGATGTGATACAACCGCTTGCAAGTCTGCAGAAACTTCACTTCCAAACTCCCTTTCACTGTCCAAGCTTCTTCCGGCTTTTTTTGCAGGGGCCCTTCCGACAGGCAAGCAGACGAGATGAAGCCGTGAAGCAGCAAGCTGCTGATGCAAATCCGGGAAATGTGGACATGTGCTGCTTTGGACTGTCATGCATGTGGTGTGCAGTGCCAACAAGAAGCCTGTGCAAGCGTATTGACAGGGCCTGTCAGGGGGTATTTTATCAGATGGCATGGCCGCTTGAATGGCGTATTGTACTTGGGGGACCTCGTGATCCACTCGGGTGGTTCTTGATTTACTCACGCAGGGCTTTGGAAGGATCAAGTTGGAGGCCATGCTTCTTTCAGGTCTACCCGTTGTGACCATGATCGGACCATGATCTCCCCTATCCTCACTTGACACATCGAGCAGATGGAAGATCCCCGGCTGCCATCCTATGCCCTATGGAGAACTGATTTTCGTAGCTGGCGAAGCTGGGTGGGGCATGCAGTCACTCTGACTTTCAGCTCCGATGCATGCAGCTCAAAGGACGACAACCAACGAAAAAGCTCAACATCTATATACTGTATGTTCAAGTATGACCAACAGTATTGGGCCAACATAGAGCCAAGATAGATCTTAGACCTTAGATATATACACATGCTTATATATTGCGTATATCCACCAACCTAAATAGTATATTATATGGGCCAAGGCCAGGTTTTTGGGGCCAAACCAACACTTTGTGCCACTCATCGGTCGCCAAGAACTGAAAATTGGAACGACCCCAGGCAACTCCGACCAGAGCGAAGAGCGCAAAGAGCGCAAAGAGCGCAAAGAGCGCAGAGCCTGTTGAAAGTATTTTTTTGTTCAATTTCCATCATTTCAGTACTGCTTTGCACTTGCGTGCATACTAGCTGGACCCTTCGGAACAGACTCTGAACAACCCATCAACCACCTCGATTTGGCTTGAAGTGCCACCTGGGCCTACCATTCGTAGAACCAGACCTTTGCCGCAGAGCTGCGATGCAATGACATGTTTCGGCGACCTGGGTGTCCTCCTGGGTCTGAGCATTTTGCTGCTTGGGTTCGAGCTTTACACGTTTTCTGGGGTTGCCGTATATATATATTATATACAGTATATGTTTGGGAATAGTAGTTCCTTTTGGAAGATGGATCTTGGTTGTGGGCCACACTTCATTCTAGTACTGTAACGATGTAATGGTTTGAGTTTGAGGATCTTGAACGAAGATTGGAGGGTGCCCGACAGAGCAGACCGTGCGGAAGAGCGTTTTTTTAGCTAGGCTGGATTCACAGACGAGGCGACGGTAAGATACTCGTAACTTGTTCATGCTTCCAATGATCACCCTACCTCTCACAAATCAAAGTGACTTGTTTCCCTTTGTACATGCTGGTTCGTGTGACATCTGTACTGTGGGCTGTGGGTGTAAGATGAGGTCGTGCAATGTATGATTCTGCTCCAAGTGAACAGGGTGATTTGCCACTGAGGTGGTCGCGGGTCGAGGCTTCTTGGAGGAGGAAGAGACAGAAGCGCTTGGATCTCTTGCAAGACCTGGCACGCCGGTGCGACCCAGAGATGGCCAGCCCGGGGCAGGCCAAGCAGTCAAGTTTTAGTCAACCAACCAACCAGCCAGCCAGCCAACCAACCAACCAGCCAGCCAGCCAGCCAACCAACCAACTAACCAACCAACTAACCAACACTCTTGGATCTTGCTGCTCCCAACTTGGCGCGCCAGAGGCATAGATGAAAAATGCGGGACCATTGCGCATTCAGACCAGTATGTTTTCAAACACACATTGCTATTAGGTTGGAGGCCATTGCTATTAGGTTCCAGGCCATCGCTAGTAAGGTTGGAGGCCATCGCTGCATTGCTATTAGGTAGATGTTTTCAGACACCCATTGTGCACCCCAGAAATCGCTGGACTTGGATCTCACGGGACCCGAGACGCGTCTTGAGGTCGGGTCTTGGGCCGAGAATTAGTGTCTGGAGGTGGGGTGCCGTTGGAAGGTTGTCCGGAGCTTGGGAAGGGACGAAGCGGCGCCTCCAGTGCAGGATCAAAGCGTTGTTGTACTCGTACCATCTCGTACCCATACTCACTCCGAGCTCGGCAAACACGCCACAGCTTCCGAATCTGTGGGTGTCCAGATGCTGTGGCAGGGGGACCTGAAAGCTACGAGAATACCGTGGCGGAGAGTGTGCTGCGCTCGGGGCCCGGATCGCGCTGCGGTCGCCATGGACAGGATCCTATCAACAGCTTGATAAATGGTCTAACTATGTCTATAAATTTATGTCTAAATGATATTCTAAAAATTGGTGGAAAGCGAACCCACGCCTCCAAAATGCTTGCCGAGGGGTGCCACCTGGACCTGTTGCTATGTCTTTGTCATGCGGTGAATCGAACACTGAATCGCCGAGGTGCAGTGCGGCAGTACCAGGCCGCACGGCTGGATTGGGAGAGTCAAGACATGTCTTAGCATGGAAAACGATGGATTTCGCTCGCCGCCGGCGCAATCCAGCCACCATGGCTGCGTACAGTTCTCAAGAACCAGCGCAGACATGCACAAATCACTGTTGCTTTCCACTTTCAGTGGTTCATTCACTTCTTCACACTGAAAGGATCAATAGGTTCTGATCGTTCTTGGTAAGCGAGAAAGAACAGACACAGCACAACAAGGACCGGGTTCATGGGCTTCGGATCGACGAATCGTGCATAGCCCGCGGTGGGAAGCCACTCAGACGGATTGTGACTTATGAGGCCTCGACAGGTTGCCTGTGGTGTTTTGTGCTGGTAGGTAGGTACTGGTATATTATGATTGTATAATATATTTACCATTAAATACCATGAAGGAATATGAAGGAAAATCTACAAAATATATACTCAAATCACTTCATTGAACCTAGAGAGCATTGAGGGTCAGCCTTGGACCCTCGAGAGAAGCCTCCCTAGCTGTGCCGGCCTCAGTGATCAACACGAGCCGAAGAACCGACAGACGCGGAGATTTGGGGCAACAGCAGATCTGCTTCAGGACCAGCGGCCTAGATCCGAGCGCTGTGCCCCACCGCCCCTTGGTCAGCAATAAGGTCAAGCGAAGTGATCCGCACAGCAACAGTGGTGACCCAACACTCGAGCTTTGCAGGGGAAAACATAGCAGGCTGGCAGGCAGCCTGCGGCCGACAACAAATGAATGAACAGTAGATTTGCCACTGCAAAACTCAGAGCAACCACGGCTGTTGTTGAATTTGGGTCCCACGGCTGGCACCCTGTTAGACATATCCTCATGAGTGTCAGACCCGATTCCTCCAAATACAGTGAAACGAAGCGTTCCGCACTGGGATTTGAGGACCTTCGGAGAATGCTGTGCTGCCTGACTCTCAGATGGAGCGCCGTTTGCTTGTACACTTGACATGATGCTCGCTTATACATGTATATTTCACCACCTGAGGACGGTGCAATTGCATGCAGGAACATTCAGAAAACAACAAAGAACAGGGAGAAGCAATCGTTCGAAACAAACCACAAAGAACAAGAAACCGACCACGAACAAGTAGACTTTCAAGTTGTTTCGTTCGATGAAGCGACCATGTTTGAAGGAGCTGGCTGCTGAGTGTAGTGCTGAAGGCCCCAGACCCCAACCTTCACGATGCAGGTGAGTGTAAGATACTTTTTGTTTGTTGGTGCTTGAGTGTAGTGCTGTAAACTAAACTTGTTAGTGCTTGTGTAGTGCAGGATGCAGCTCATGAGTGTGCGCTTAGTTTGTGCAGTGTAGTGTGGTGTTGTAGTAGGCCCCACCCCTTCAAGTGCGGAGTGCCCGACCCCGGGCGGCGCCGACCCCGTGGGGCGGGACCTCGCGTGAAAGGGCTGCGGTCTCAGGTGACGCCGGGATTGAGTGCGGTGCGGTCCTTGAGCAGCTCAGCGGGAGGTTTGCTCAGCCCAATGTGGGGAGGCCAATGAAGGCGACAGATGGGAATTGAAAGACTGAAAGTTGCCACATGTGGGTGGACTGACGGTGAACTGACGATCCCAGTCAAGGCTTTCATTTGGGGATGAAATGTTGGGGGTCCAATGTTTGAGGTGCAATGCTACAAAGACTAGCATGAAGAGATTTAGGCCTGTTTAGACCCCCACATCGAACATTGCCTTGTGCCTATTTGCAAATTTACCGCCCTGTTCGTATGCTGACCCAGAGAAGCTGCGTGTCAGAACTCCTCAAACATTACAATCATAGACTTACAACATCCATTTGTGGCCTTCGCAAATTTTTTGGGCCAGCGACCACACTGGAAAGTCAAGTGCCAAAGCAGGATGTAAAGCGCTAGTGGCTCTCACATCATGTGCAATCCATTCTTTGGGAGCAAACCATACTCCTCAGACTTCTTGCAGCTTTGCTGAGCTGGCTGTTGGGTTGTGAAGCATCATTTTGGCTGCCATGTATCACCACGGAGGGTGGACAGCTGTGAGTCCGTAGTGGTGGGAGTAGAAAAACATCATGCTCTCAGTGTGATCCGAGAGCATCGGCATGCCCAAGCGGCTTGGACATTGTGGGCCCACGCCAACGCTAACTTCCTGGTGACTGGGTCCCTACATACAAGTCTGGTGCAACGCGTAGTCGCCCCAGGCTGCAACACGCCGGCCTGGTGAAGGATGAGGCGGATGGGCAGATGTGGCTGGACGGACCTCCATGGACCGGAAGATACCCGCCACCACCAACCTGATGAAGGTGCTGGTTGGCCATTGCATCTGGAGATCTATTTTTCAACCATGTTGGGGGATCTTCTGTCCCACAAGGCTTTACCGTAGACACTTAGAATGGAGGGAGAGTGTATGATGGACTGGGGCAAAAACGCTTTGCAACCATGGCCAAGCCTTGCCAAGCCACGCCAAGCCATGACAAGCGGGCTTTTCAGAATCCTGAAACAAGAAGTCGCTGTCCGGTCCCGCCGCCTCTCAGGTGGACGTTGACCCAGAGGACTTACTGTGTGAGGATGTGAGGCGTGGAAGATGGTTCCCTGCTGAAGACGACCGCATTGGGTGCGAAGAAAAACAGTTCCTCCACGGATTGAGCAGATGTTTTGTGAGAAGGGGTGTTTCTTATTCCATTGTAAGACAAGCCCTGCACTTTGAAGATTGCGAAACCCATCTAAAACACTGCTTTGTGGAGTTTGTGGAGGAACGCTGGACTGCGACATGAGATAGCTGGACTGCCTCTGGCATGTTTGGATCATTCCATGTCAACGATTGGACGCCATTGATTCGGTCAACGCCCTGGAAAACGTGGCATGGTACACCAGATACATACCCAAGATAATATATTCATATATATACACATATATATATATATATATTTAATCGATGGTACCCACCCTCTTTCGCATGTGTAGGTGCTGGCTGAGTTCTACCAGCCGCGCTTGGCACTCAGGGTTTCAATCTGCTGATGTCGCAGAGAAGAGGTCATCGCATCAATAGAAGCCTCCATGCGCCCCTAAGTAGCCTGCTGGGGTTTGCAGCGGGTGCGCTGTCACCTGTCAAAGTGTTGCGTATCATCTTCAGGGCCTTCAGGGCTCAGAGCTAGATGACCAAAGGGTTCTGTTGGCATGCCTGATTTGGATCTGCATCGAGAGCTATGAAGCACCATCGAAAGACTAAGCATCCCGAACGTAGCAGCTCCAGATCATTCTAATTTGCAATCATCCCGACTTCCATCACATACAAAACCACCTGGCACCTATCTATCTCATTCTATCTCTATCATTCTCTATCTGGTAGGTCATGACATTCATCACCTCAGCTCTCTCCTCACCGACCCGAGTGCCGACACCGAGCCTGGCCGAGCCTTTGCACCCGCTTCGGCTGATCCCAGGGGGAGCTGGAGCGGCACCTGGGCTTCTACCGGCAAGTGCTCATGCGCCCGGAGGCCGCACCGGGAGTCAGTGGGGCGGTGTAAGATTTGTATTACACAGTAAGATTGTGAAACAGTGAAAAAAGTGAAACACAGAAGTGTGGACGCTTAAGGCTGTATAGGGGTCTCTACTGTTGTTGGAAGGGTTTTAGTGATCATTATATAGAACGTAAAATGAGTATATGTATAGCGACCATGGACGCGCGTTGGTGTAGAAAACACGATGCTTTCATCAGGTCAGCACGATCATTACCAAGCACATGGATTCCTGGAAGAACACCAGAGGCAGTCTCTGGTGTTGCTTTAGAGCTGTGATGTCCGTAGCACTGGGTCAAAGCAGGTCCATCATGCCTTTTACCAAGCACTTGAAAGAACGAGCCGCACGGAAGCTGATCGCTTCAAGGTGTTGCGTCGGATGGCTGGCTTGGGCATATACCTTGCTGCTAGTTTCTTCGACCATGATAATCTCAGTGCTTGGGTTATTCACTTCGCCCCTTGTTCTGGGATGTGCCACTGTCTTGCTCGTAGCCCCTGCAGCTTGCCGCGCCAAGAGCGTTGTGGAGCCCATGTGGCACCCTGCAACAGTCATTCTCCCAACTCGTGCCTCTCTTCTGGGATTGGACCCAGAGCCTCAATCTGTGACACGTTTCTACACTTTCTCTTTGCTCGTTCGAGTCGGGTCGGCAGTTCTTTGTTTCCTGATTTTTTCATGGACCCTGGCAGCCGCTTTCATTCAGTATGACAAGTTGGAAGCGCAGGACTGTTGCCATGAAGCCTCACTCAATGTCTACGAGAAAGAGGACATGTATCAGAAATATTTCTATTTGTCTTGCCAAAGGAGTTCTGTGAAGATGACAAGATACTCTTTGGCAACTTTTGATGCGGATGGTTGCCTAGAGCAGGTGAGCATGGCAGCCTGCCTTGAGAAACTAGCGCTGGCATATGCCTGCAGGGGCAACACATCAGAAGTTTCCGAGACTGTCAGAGTGGGTTGCTCAGCTGTAGTGCCAGAATATCTACGTTGCCAGTTCCATGGCGGTTTGCATGCCATTTCTGGGTACGAAATCTGTTTGAGCTTACCACAGTGGTTGTTTTCAACTTGGTGCGGCAGCATTGTACGCTTTCGAAGGATAAACTCAATGTCCGGCATACAATACCTCGTGCTGTTCGGTGTTATCCTTGCAGTGTTTCTTGCGCCCTTTTTGGCAGCTGTTTGTGCTTTGATCATGGTTGGTTGCTTCTCAATACCCCAAAGTGATGTGGACTTGCGCTTGGCTGTGGATGCTGAAGTACGAGACCTGCAAGAAGAACTTGACTCGCAGGGAACATCAACTATGAGCAATCTTGGACGTGCACTACTCCGATTGGACCTGATCCTGGTTTTCATGGACTTTGCGGGCGATATGCTCAGTGTTTGGACTTTTGCAAGCACCCACCATCCGTGGTTTGGGGTATTTCAGGCGCTAATTATCCTTCGCAGTGTGCCCGCCATATGGCGGTTACAACTCGAGGAAGGCATTGTAAATGAGGTTCGTCTGTCGCTCGAAGCCAACACGCTGACTGACAGCCTTTACGACCTCCTGCTCCAAGAGAAGACGGTGGAAGGCACACTAACTACGCTACTGATGACTTATGTGGTGACTTTCACGATTGACAGCCCCTTTGCCTTTAATCTGTCGCTGGCAAAGTGGGCCCTTTCGCTGCGATCGCTCACAAATGGCTGCTTCATTCACTTTCATTTAGCACAAGGTGATGCCAAGACAGACGCTTTTCTGGTCGGATTGCCGCTAGGCAAGACGACCAAAGACACCGAGTGAGAAAGTCATTCGTGCCCAGTATGCAGATGGTTAAACGCCATGCCAGCGAGGCAGGCATGCAGCAGATAAACCTGACGGAAAGAAAGGAGTAGTGCTCATGGCATGGCCTGAGTGTGGTAGTGCGGGTCCATATGGCCTTGACCGAGAGCTTTGCAAGACATATCATGTATCATGTCACAAGGGCGTATTCTTTGCATCAGCTGTTCATGCAGCTTCTTTGTGACAGGTCTTCGCAGAAGACCCTCGGTTCTTTCACTTGTTGGTGGGATACCCCAGCTGGGGAGAGGAGGACATGAAACCCTGTCCGGCCCCGGCCCCATGGTCATGATCTGACAGGGTCATGACAGGCTCTCAGGTGCTGTTTGGGGTGAGGGCAGGATGATCTATTTAGAGAAAACAAAGACACCCGTGCTCAGAAGTTCAGTCGTCCTTTTGTCCAGAACTGCAATCGCTTAACAACGATAGGGAGTAAAGATGATAGGGTTCTGCATTGTTTACACATGCACATATATTATGTAGACTTAGACGAAATACCAGCTGCTTCAACCTGTTTTGTTCAACTACTGTAGGTCAAAGGTTCATGGCTGGTCAGGCGCAGCGGCGCAGGACGTGAAGTTTGGAGGGGGCACCCGGGCACCCCCTTTTTTCCGTGGCAACACTGTCCTGTTGAGATGACCCTGGAAGGGTAGCAGTGCAGAACAGAAAGTATACCTCTGTGATCCTCCTTGCACGCCATGGTCGAACCACCGCATGGGATGCCGCTGAAACTCCCACAACAACATACATGGCAGAACTTGACAAGGCAACACCATGCCTTGTACTGTACCATTTGGAATTTGCATATTATGCCTCACGCAGCTAATCAAGAAAAGCAGCCATTTGCCAGGGTGCCTATTCAATAACCGCGTGCTCTTTGTCATTCTTAGATCTTCATAGATCTTCGGGCTTTCTCTGAGGTCTTCTTGTGTGAGCGGTTGGAAGAGCTTTTAGGTTCGGCAAGCCCAGTCGGATATGAGATGGAATTTGAGTGTCCAACTGGAGCAGGCGTGGGATGGGTGAACAAAGTCGCAACCAAGTTCTGGATTTGGACGCCAATCTATACAACTAGAAAAGGCTGATTGAGGATCATTGTGGCCGACTTGAAGAACATTTGAGGGTTTTCAGAGTTCATGTTATAAGACTAACCTCGGAGGGCATCGGGGAGCAAAGAGCTATGTGGTCTACGATACTATCGTGTTTTTGCAACAACAATTTAACAGCTGCTTCTTCTCCTACTACTACTAATACTAGAATTACAACTACTGTTAGAATTACCATGACTTGCTGCTGCTGCTGCTGCTCCTACTACTACTACTGCTACTACTACTACTATTACTACTATTACTACTATTACTACTATTACTACTATTACTACATCTACATCTACATCTACATACTGCTACATCTACATACTGCATATTTATTATAAAGATGACTATCATAATACTGCTATACTAGTACTGCTGCTGTGATTGCTTGGCTTTGCTGGCTGGCGTGGTTCTTTTCTCAAGCCATGGCCTCCATGGCCCAGGCCGTTTGTCTGTGACGTCTAGAGACTGCGCCACACAGTGGGGGGGCTCAGCTTCTTTTGATCCAACTCAAAGAGGATCTGGATGTTTTATTTTAACTATAACCGATTCACCACAGGGGACCTTGCAAGCTCTCAAGAAACCGCTTTCACCCATGCTTAGCCGCGTGACGGATGACGGATCCCCTTTTCACTGCACGTGCTGCTTACAGTTGCCGCACGTTCTTGCCGGCCAATCATTCATCAGGGTTGGGTGAACAAGGTCTTGCGTTCGGAGACCCATGCACCCGAGCACTGATCGATTGATGCCTCCTCCCCATCACCGACTCAGCCGACCAAAACTTGACTTGGCGCATTGCTTCAGGTACCGCATCAGAAACAGTTAGCAGTCCGTTTGATTTCATCGTCCACCTGGACTCCTTCTTGTAAGCAATGTTTTTTCAACGACGATTCGAAGGTTTTTTTTTCAACGACGATTCGAAGGTGACAAAGTCCGAACCTAACCAAGGGATCGCGCAACAAAATTGCAGATTCCAAGCAGCGAATCTGCTGACCAGTCAATCCATGGGCATTCCACTTGCCTTCCTCATTTCGGGCTCCATCCGAGCTCCCAGGTCGGGACATGACATGGGTGTGTTTTCCTTCAATTTCCTTCAGCAAAAAGCCAGCCGTGGCCTATATATTGAATATTATAAAACGTAGTGGCTAGATTTAAAGAATCTTAAATATGTGTTCCTCAAAGAAACAAAATAACAAATATCTATATCTATATCGTCTATATCTATATATATATATATACACATACATTTTCTTTCTCCGGCGGCCGCTGTGGCTGGCCGTGCTGAGGCTGGCGAAGGTGATCTCAATTGGCAAAGAGCTGCTGGATGGGTTGCCAGAGTCTGAGTCGCTGGTCACCAATTACCTAGACAACAAATGTGCTCGAAAAAACATATCATAGACTCTTGATTAATGAATTCTCCATGCCCATATGAAGAGGTTTTTCAATTCAAATGTGGGAGATTATTAATCAAGAGCCTACATTATATCATAGTATGAATATAGTGTGACATTCGTTTGGACATGGGTGTCTTCGTTGTTTTCTTGGGAGGTCAACCTGAGTATTCTACTACATCTATTACGTGTCAGTCTCAATTCAATATTACTTGTATTATACATGCCCAGACCTGAGGAGAACAACTCGTACTTGTAGTGTGTCTTAGCTAGTTTGAGGTCTAATGAGTTATCATTCAGAGATTGCTTGAGAAATCAGGCGATTTCGACTTTCTATATTCAGGAGGATCCATGCCCAGGTTTTGGAGCTGCTGAGGCTGCCAGTGCTTTTGCTGTCCATTTGTGATTTGTTGGACGGCCCCACGTGGATGCCTTAGAAGCCGAGCAGAGGCTGGTGGGCTCTGAGGTGGTGAAAAGTACCACTGCCAACGGCGCATGAGGCTGGCAAACCTCAAGAGACTCACGCACCATCCATGGTATTTTCACGGTATTGCTACTATACGTACTTCTTTGCACCTCTCGAAGTAGTAATAGTAACAGTAGCATGGAGCATCATTTATGCAAGGCGCAGACATTAAACCTCCGACCTCTGACACATGAGTCACACTTGCAGATTGTACGCGCCTTAGCTCGGGTATTTGGTCGAGCATGATCATTCATGCGAGTCGCAAGGTTTCTATATTTTTTGGGTTTCTTGAAGTTCCTCGAGTTTCAATTTCTTGAAACAACTACCTACGCTGCGTGTTTCTCTGATTTCTATGACATCGGTCACCACATGGTCTGCACTTAGGCCGTTGCTGAGCTGGAGCCTTGGAGCTGGTGCGTTCCGCTGGTGGAGCGGACTTGGAGTCATTTCCGACGACTGGGCAGTGCCTGTACAGTTGGATACAGTTGGTACATTGCCGCTTTGACAACCATGGCACATGGTCCCACAAAAAACATGGCGCATGGCTTGAGAAGGTCTTCTCCGGTGAAGTCAAGATACAACATGATACAACATATTTTTCCCAAATCCCAAAGCCACCCTTTTGTCGACGATAAGGGCGATTGGGGTGAGACGAATATGGTCCTTCCGTTGGTATGGACAACCTCGTGAGCGGATCGAAACTATTCCAACGCTTTGTTTGGAGCCCTCCTAACTATCCCAAGCCCTCCCAATCGCATCCATTCGCCTCCTTCTGTGCCCCCCCTGACCCCTGAACTTCCTAAGATTTCCTGAGCCCTTGCTCCGTAGCATCGATGTGTTGCTCTGCCGCGCGAAAGTGGGTGAGGCATTGAAACCCTCCTGAGCTCCATCGAGGCGGAGCGTTTGCACCGGGTTCCACGAACCGGCCATGTGCCATCATGTGCCCAGATCTGGAATGAACGGGCCAAAGGGACGAGTTTAAAAGGGATGTCCAGTTTGTGTAGAGTTGGGATGTTTGACTTATGCGAAGCATACCCTCAAAGATCTCAAAGCATATCCCTCGAAAAATGCAACTACTCAAAAACACTTACTGTAAGGACATGTACAGACTGACATCTAAAGTAAGCCTATAGATTTAGGTGCTTCTGGTGTGGTAAGCCGACTATTCTCTTGTACTGTATTCCCAATAGAATCGGTCCAACTGGGAGTCGAGTTGTTTTGTTTTCTGCTGAATCCTGCAGGGGCCCTGCGGGAAGCACATCGAGCTCAGCACATCCATATCAAACTCACAGAGCGGAATCAGAACAAATAATATTGAAGAATGATGTAAGAACATGTTTTGAATGATGTAAGAACATGTAAGAATCCCTGTTTTCCAACGTTTTTTTTTTTGAAGTGCTTTTGAGACAAGACACCTCTCGGGCGTCCTCGGTGTCCTCTCTGGGCTTCGACGGTCCGAGCGGCCAGACACCGATCGACGGCTTTGCCAAGTACGGGGATCTCAGAGTCGATGGTTTGCCCATTGGACTCGTGGTTTGAAAGCTTTCTCATGCTGGGTGGAACAGCCCCGGACGGAACTCTATGTAAACCCCCAAGCTTGGATGACTGCTTTGCTTCTGGACATTTCTGGACGCTTATGTAACCACAGGGCTGGCGTGATCAGCGGCTCAAAGAAGCCGGAGTCCAGGTGATCAGCCTATGGCGCTTGGATGGCCCACGGCAGGTTCGCAGAATGGTAACATTCTGCGTGCCAAGATGGATGGTGCACAGAAGATACAGAACAGCTTGCACTGGGAAGTTGACAACTACAATGGCGAGAAGGGCGTCAACAGGCATTTCTGGATTTTGTGGCTTGCCTAAGGCTTACAGAGTCTAGATTTTCCGTACGAGCAGATTTCAGAGGCTGTGAAAGCAGTACTGTGACTCTAATCCCAACCCCTGAAGAGTTAATTCGGTTTCGTTTGTGGAACTGAGGTTGATTGCAACAGCGGTGCTTTCCAACTGCCTGTTTTTGGTGACAAACCACTTCACCTGGCAAGTGGGGCTCTTACGCGAGCCTCCCGCATCGGGATTCATTTGACGGACTCGACGAAAGCCCCTGTCAAGATTATCAAGTGGGTCCCGTTTTGGTGCGTCCTTGAATCAATGAAGAGTCTTACTACTGTACCAACAATATCCAACAATTGCATCAATTTCCCAGAAGAAGTCTTACTACCATGGAACTCCACCAGCACTTCAGTAATGGCCGAGGCAGTCCTGACTCCTGACCTGCTCAATATCCCAGGTGGGCCCAATAGTTTGTCAACCTTCGTCAACCAGACTTTTGTGTGTCCGGGTCACGGCGGTCGATTCGTCGAGGTGTGCAAAGCACCAGTGGCTTTCATCCGCACCGGTACACCTGTGAGGCACTGGACGCGCACGAACCCCCTGGTGGCGGTGACCATGAACATGGCATTGGCCTGTGGCGCCCGGCTGGTGGCGCGCGACACCATGGAGGCGGCGGGGAGCGGCTTCGCCGAGCTGAAGGCGCGGCCGCGGAGCCGGAGGGCACCGCGCCCAGGGGCCATCGCCTGGACGGGTCAGGAGGTCATGGGGGAGGAGGTGAGGGGCCAAAACGACGTAGACGTGCAAGTTCATGCATGTAGAGTCGGTTCATTCTTGAGAGAGATGTTTGAAGAGAACATTTGGACATAACATGAATTGAGCTAAACAAATGAAGGTGATGCAGATTTTCTGGGGCGCTTTTGTCAGATTTTTGGCATGGTTCTTACAGGGTATCAAGAATGGTGTGTTAAACTGTTAAGCGCTCTGTGTGCTAGACAAGAAGCGCGTTGAATATCCTTGAATGTTCTGGTGCTTTTTCAATGGCGTTGTGTTGGACCATTCAAATTCGATTAACTCGGACACTTTCTTGCAACCTTGAAGGCGATGCTCTTTGGTAAAGTTATCCTGCACTATTTGAGCCTTGTCTCGTATAAATGGATGGGTTGGAGGGAATCGGTGGGTCCCGTCGGTGTGTCACGACATGTCATGTCTGGCACATCGAGCGCAGCGGAGCGCAGCGCGCTACGCAGCTAGCGAGATCCGCCAGCGAGATCCGCAGCGCTACGCGTAGGCAGACTGGTTTCCGGCAACTTTCTGCCCCCACAGAAGCTGATTTCAGAAGCTCTCCTGGCTGTATGGGCCATGTCTCGGAGAAGCACTCTCTCCTGGCTCTCCGGAGGGGATCGAAATTGTTCAGTGATTCAAAGATATTCAAAGTGGTTCTCATCCATATTGGCACTGCCAGAATAAGTGAGTGTGTGTGCTTACGGGTGTCTTCTTTCTTTGCGAGCAGACTCTATTTTTGTTCAACAGAGTGCTTGCTAACAGTGCAAAGAAGTTTCTAACCGCCTGCTTCGTTGCTGGGAGCTTTCAAACGTCTCAGGAGTTTTCGTGTGCTTGTGGCCAAAGTGGTGGCACTGGCCTTGGGGGTGAGTGCGGGCTTGCCCTTGGGGCAAGAAGGACCGCATGTCCATGTAGCTCACTTGCATTTGGCCACTGATTGTTGTGGGTCCTTTCTGAAGAGTCTGAAATCTGATGGCGACCTGCAATGGGCCGAACCAAGACCCCTTGCTTGAAACGACCTCCATCGAGAATCGCGCGATCTGCCGTCAGATCGCCGCGTGCTTCGCGAGAATCTTGAACCCTGGCTTCTTTGACCGGTGCGTCCACCAGACGCCGCATGGGGCTGGCGGCTCTGGCTATGGCGCCGCAGTGACGATGGATTTGCAGAGGAAGTTGTTCTTTTGGAGGGTCAGTTCACTGATTGCTTACAAAAAAAAGATGCCTAGATGTTGGTGGGATTTGGGCCAACGACTGTGTTCTAAACCCTTATATAATTGCAAGATATTACAAGAACAGATGTTTTTTGGTAAAACAAAGCCGTTGGGAATTTTCCACGACTGACATGTTTCCTTTGGGTTTCACCACTCCCCTCAAGCCTCCAAAATAGAAACAGCAAAAGGAGACTAATGTAGTAGCGTCCTTGCTCCTAGTAGCGATGCCATGAGCCCCTAGTAGCTTCTTGCTCCTAGTAGTAAGGCCAGGAGCCCCTAGGAGCGTCCTTAAGAAAACATGAAGCCAAGCTTCTGCTCAGGTGGCCAAGCTTCTGCTCGCGGCCTGCGCCACCGGCTTCTCGGGCACCTTCTCCGCGCCAGTGGGCGGGGTGATCTTCTCGCTGGACAGGGGGGGCGACTGGGTCCATTTGTAGAAAGTGCGAAGATGAGGGAATTAAAGCATGTGGGAGCATGTGAATCTCCTACAGGATCCACACATTAGCGGCTATATAAGTATACACATATTATCGTGATATATATATATATATGGAGGTTAGGTTACCTGCTGAGATCGAGTCATCACAGAGTGAAAGCAACATGACTCCTTGTGAAGCTGACAATTTGATTTAAAACCTGCAGCAAGCTATTTCGTCATAGAACGAATTTTATCTAAAGTATGTCCTTTGGGTCCACGGTTGGAGTCGACCAATTGATTGGACCAAGCAAGTTTGCTCAGTTCGCTGCTTCGCTCAGTGCCACCAAATTGGTTGAGGTTCCTCCAATGTAGAGCTGATGCTTCCACAGGAGCTGATGCTTCCGCAGACCTATGACTACGATGCCTACAGGGGCTGTTTGACTGCCAGTGTCATTGGTGCGATGATCTTTGCAATGGAGAGACGCTGGGAGAGTGGGTGTCAGTGGGTGCTATATGTGCCTTCATACAAGTGACTGTTAGTCGTACGACTATGTCGTACTTACAGGCTGGAATTCGCAGGGGTCAGCGTGGGTCATTCCGGTTGCGTCCTTCCTTGGTGTCAAAGGCGGTGACCACTGAAGGTGCGAGAGGAGTCATTTGCCTTGGGACGAAACGATCGCCTTGATGGTGGAGAAGCTTAGGTCGAGTTGCGATTTGCTAGGCTTCACATGGCTTCACGGAGATTGAAATTCATCCGGTCTTCTTTCAGAAAAGATTATAATCGCATGTTCTGCTTTGGTCATCAGGCTTCAACGACGGCATGCCTAAGAATCCCATTGTTTTTCGGTCGACCGAGGAAACGTGTGGCAGTCGGGGCGACCCTTGGTGACCAGCAACGTGCTGCCGGGGGAGGGTGACATCACGGAATTTCCACTTCTAACACTGTTGACGGTGCCTGGACGGTTGAACTTCGGGGTGTTTGTTGGATGAGTCTGGGATGATCATGCGAGGATCATTGGAGGAGGAGCATGAGGACGAGGACTGGGTTAAAAGTTGGAGTTGGAGTTGTTTGGATGGAAGGGCTGACAATGGAGTCAGACGCTTGATGGTGTAGAAACGCCGTGATTCTTAATGGTTGTTATATATATATATGTAATATTTATATAATGATATGGTCATGGGATTGACTTGGGTTTTTGACAATGTGTTCATCCCCATCATTAGCCGTCCTGGCTTGCCAGGTAATGTTTCTGAACTTGAAGGCCTCAGGGAGAAAGGTCTCAGCATTCATTTGCATCCTGGTATTTTCAGAGTTTTCCCATACTGACCGTACTTTTTGTGACCTCGCCCGTCCCAAGGTCTCCCTTGGCCTTGGGATCCTTTGTGGCTTAGCTGGTGGGATCTGGGTCCGCAGCCACTCCTGGGTGGCCAGCACCCTCCGGCGCCTGGTGCTACGCAGCGCGCAATCGCGGCCGCGCTTGAAGACGGTGGCCACGCCCCTGCTACGCTTTCCACGCGACGCACGGCTTTCAACCATGAGAGGCGTGGGGAGGGGGTGGTGTTGGTTGATTCTTTAGCTTATTGGTCAGCTTGTTGCATCTTGTTGGTAGCTGTTGTGGATTCTTTGTCCAAGGGTTCATTGAGCACTAAGTTCTTCGAAGAGTCGCATCTAGGATGGGGTGCAACATCGCTGGTCAGGAGAATTTGGTGGTTTCTAAAGCTTGCTTGCCTGTTTACATGGCCCATCATGTCCCCCAAGGTTTCATCATGTCCCCCAAGGTTTCTTTTTAAAGACATTGTACGCTTTATGCTCCACTTGCAGATTGGGTCCATTCCGCCGTTCAATTCAAAATGTTTACGATTCACCACAGGTGCCGCCTGAATATGCCTGAATGACATTGCTTGTTTGTTTCTGTTTCCTGTTTTACGAGTACTGTAATATTGTGAATTTGTATGCATTGGAACATGCATATCATGATATGAGATGGCGGCCCTCTCATGTGACCATTTTGGCACAAGGGCCCTTGAGTCTGGCTCATCCGAGCCCCCGACGGTTGCGCAATGGAAAAGTGAGCGTACCGCTTGCTTTTGATCGTGACGGAGTTCTTTGATCCCCGTTGGTTGAGTTGTGACAGTTGCCTTTACAAGTTGCTGTTGATCCTCCGCTCACCATTTTACATGGTAGCGGAGCTGCCAAGCTCCAGGATTGCTTTGTGAGGTCCCGGCCTGATCCCGGGTGCGGTGCAAACCGCAGAGC